CCACCAACAGTGCGAGAGGGTTCCCTTTTCTCCACACCCTCTCCAACATTTATTGTTTCTAGATTTTTTGATGACAGCCATTCTGACTGGTGTGAGGTGATACCTCATTGTAGCTTTGATTTGCATTTCTCTGATTAGAGATGTTGAGCATCCTTTCATGTGTTTGTTGGCAATCTGTATATCTTCTATGGAGAAATGTCTGTTTAGGTCTTCTGCCCATTTTTGGATTGGGTTGTTTGTTTTCTTGATATTGAGCTGCATGAGTTGCTTGTATATTTTGGAGATTAATCCTTTGTCAGTTGCTTCATTTGCAAATATTTTCTCCCATTCTGAGGGCTGTCTTTTTGTCTTGTTTATGGTTTCCTTTGCTGTGCAAAAGCTTTTAAGTCTCATTAGGTCCCATTTGTTTATTTTTGTTTTTATTTCCATTTCTCTAGGAGGTGGGTCAAAAAGGATCTTGCTGTGATTTATGTCATAGAGTGTTCTGCCTATGTTTTCCTCTAAGAGTTTGATAGTGCCTGGCCTTACATTTAGGTCTTTAATCCATTTTGAGTTTATTTTTGTGTATGGTGTTAGGGAGGGTTCTAATTTCATTCTTTTACATGTAGCTGTCCAGTTTTCCCGGCACCACTTATTGAAGATTGCCTCTTTATTGTCTTTTGAGCAGCGAGCAGTCAGCAAGCAGCCGGGCCCCGCTTTCGGTTATGCTACCTTACTTCATACACAAAAATTAACTCAAAATGGATCACTGACCTAAATTTAAGAGTTAAAACTGTAACACTCGTAAGAAAACATAGGAGTATCTTCATGACCTTGTATTAGGCAATTTTTTCTTAGATATGATAAAAGCATAAGCAACCAAATGTAAAGTCTGATTTCATCAAAATTAAAAACTTTGTGCCTCCAAGGACATCATCAAGAAAATTAAGACAACCCACAGTATTGGAGAAAATATTTATAAGTCATGTATCTGAAAGAAGACAGTATCCAGAATATAGAAGGAACTCTACCAACTCAACAATGAAAAAACAAGTAAACCAATTTTTAAATGGACAAAGCATTTGAACAGACATTTCTCCAAAGACTACATAGACAATAAGCACATGGAAAGATGTTCAACATCATTAGTCATTAGAAAAATGCAAATCAAACACAAAAAGAGATACCAGTTTATAAACCACTAGGATGGCTAAGATAAAAAGGACAGACAAGTACTGGAAGGAAATGGAAAAATTGCAAGCTTCATACATTGTAGGCAGGATTGAAAAATGATACAGCCACTTTGTTTGGTAGTCCTTCAACATGTTAACTATCAAGTTACCATATGACCCAGCAATCTTACTCCTAGATGTATGTTACTACGGTGTGGTCACTTTGGAAAAACATTTGGCATTTCCTCAAAAAGTTAACCCTAGAGTTACCATGACTCAGCAATTTTACTCTTCAGTATACACCTAAAATGAAAATATATGTCCACACAAAAACTTGTATGTAAATGTTCATAGCAACATTATTCATAATAATCAAAAAAACAAAATTCCTAGTAATTCAAATATCAACTACTGAAAAAACAAAACAAAACATGGTATGTCCATAAATGGTAATATAAAGGAAGTACTGAAATGTCTTCGGACATAAACGAACCTTGAAAACAACATACTAAGTGAAAGAAGCCAGTCACAAAAGACCACATATTGTATGGTTCTTTATATAAAATGTCTAGAAAAGGCAAAAAGAAACAAGAAAAGGGATGGGGGAGAGGAGAAACTGACAGACAGACAGACAGAAAGTAGATTAGTGGTTGCCAGGGGCTGGAGGGAGTCGGGAGGTAGGAATGACTACTACCGCGTACAGTTTCTTCTGACGGTGATGAAAATATTCTAAAATTAGATATTGGAATAGTTGCACAACTCTGTGAATATATTAAAAACCAGTGAACTGCGCACACTTTAGAAGAGTGAATTTTATGGCACATAAATTATATCCTAATGAAACTGTTATTTTTTTTAAAGGCAGTTAAAACCCCATATTCCCTTCTATTCTACATAGCCAAGCCACTTCCCCTCCTGCCCCCAGGTAGATGAATGGAGCTTATTCTCTGGGAACGGTAAAACAGAGGGCCTCTGGTTTGAAGGGCACTAGACGTGGTTGAGAATAGTATCACCCTGAAAGGAAAGTGATTAAATAAATGCATGCCCTGGATACTGAGACTCAAACCACAGGAGGCTGAGAACCAGGCATTTACCCTGCAGCCAGGTAGTGGGAAAAGCTTGGAGACTCTGACCAGGAAAAAAGGAAAAACCTAAAAATACATTAAGAGCTCTGAACAAAATGGAGCAATCAGATTACCCTATGGTAAAGCCCCCGTAGTTGACAAGCCCCAATTTAAACATTTGGTAGATTGGATTAGTGACAATTATATATAAAATCAGCAAAAAAAAAAAAAAAAACACCCAAAGAAACAAAAACAAAAAACCTTAATAAGAATTAACCCCCAAAGAAGAATGAAAGGGCCAAAGAAAGACACGTCTCAGCTAAGAACTGCACTGCCCTAACCAATATTATATCAACTATATGGAAGATGGAACAATAAAGAAGGGTATACTGTGGGAACTGAGGGGAGGGGGAAGAAAGCTAAGTCTCCATCTTTGAAGACAGGGAGTCAATGGATAATTCCTCAAACTGGAAATTAAAGTAGGAGCAACACAAGCATATCACAGCATTGAGAGATATAGAAATAAACACCAAAAGAATCAGCTGAAAGTTGAAAGTCTTGCCACTGGGAGGAGGAACTGGAGGGTAGGGAGAAGGAAAAAAAATTCTCATAACAAATCTTGTGGAAACCATGTGCATGTGTGATGTTGATGACAAAAATGAAAACTTTTAAAAATAAACTATACTGCAGAGAAATAGGGCATTGGTTTTGACAAACCTGAGTTTAAATCTTAGCTCTGCCACTTACCTAGCTGTGCTTGAGGACATGTTATGTCACATTTCTCAGCCTTCATTTCTGTAATACAGGGAAATAATACCTACATTTTTTTTTTCTTTATAAATTTATTTATTTTATTTATTTATTTTTGGCTGCGTTGGGTCTTTGTTGCTGCACGGGCTTTCTCCAGTTGCAGCAAGCAGGGGCTACTGTTCATTGCAGTGAGTGGGCTTCTCATTGTGGTGGCTTCTCTTGTTGCGGAGCTCAGGCTCTAGGTGCGCGGGCTTCAGTAGTTGTGGCTCGTGGGCTCTAGAGCGCAGGCTCAGTAGTTGTGGCACACGGGCTTAGCTGCTCCGCGGCATGTAGGATCTTCCCGGACCAGGGCTCGAACCCGTGTCCCCTGCATTGGCAGGCGGATCCTCAACCACTGCGCCACCAGGGAAGTCTCAATGCCTACATCTTATAGGGCTATTATGCCGATTAAATTGGATGTGTATAAAGTTCTTATCACAGTGTCTGGCAGATATTAAAATGCTCAAAGTGTTAGTTATCTCCCTATCCTTCACTGATTCTGAAGCCAGAGTGATATAAATAGGGGAACTGGTTTGGAATCTTTGGCAGAAATTAAGGAGATACGTATACCTAGGTTTTGATGAAGTGACTGTCCTTATAGTCCATGATAACCAGGCAGCCAACAGTCATAAGAAGAGCCTACAGAATTGGCTTGGACCAGGCACTTACAGAGCCCAAGAGTCAGAAAGTAGGAAAGTATAAAGTGAGATATTGCCAGATAAGGAGACCTTCAAACACAAGATCTTACCGATGAAGAGGGCCATGTGATCGTGAATGGCCATGCTGATAAACAGCTGACAGATGAGACAAGGCCCACGAAATTAAGGAAGTTTTGTTAAGGACATCAATGAGTCCTCAAAGTAGGTTATCTGTCCTACTGGAGACAGTTGTAAAAACAAGAGAGAAATAATATAAGCCAGTCCTTAAACCACCTGGAAAATGGAAGTAGATCCTAGGAGGCTGAAGACTTCTAGGAAAAAGATATGGAAAACGTGATATAAATAAACAAAGGAGTATCCATGGTGCACAATTAGGTCAGACCAATCTTTCCACTCCTATCAACTTCTCCCACTACACACACATACTTCCATTTGTAGGCAAAAGATGAGAGACCCCGAGGACTTCTTACTCTTCCCTCCCTCCATCACCACTCACCCTCACCACCCTGGCCAAATAAAAATCTAACTGGGAATAAAATGTCATCAAAGGAAAGCTAAGCTTCAGAGATGTAGTAAAGAAATGTGCTTGAGGGGAAGGATAAAAGGAAATAAACTGAAAGTACGAAAGAATTCTCCTGGTCATTCCCCAAGGTGAACGGAGAAGGCAGGTGAAGTTATTAAAGAATAGATATGGGATGTGAGAGTATGCAGATATTTGGAAAAAAATCAATAGTGATTACTTTGAGATTGGGAATCAACACAAAGTCTGATCTCTTTCCCTTAAGTAGCTTGTCTTTTTGGTTTTAAGCCATCATTCCAGCCTATCAAGTTTGTGTCACAAGCAAATTTGATAGGTATGCCTTCTATGATTAAACTACATTGAATAGAAGAGAAAAGGCTGAACTTTATAGCACAAAACCAACCTAATCAGTTTGGTTGGATTTTTTTTCCCATTGACATTTGACTCCTAGAGCTTACAGGGTACATTTTAGGTTCTTTGGCAGGAATTGTTCACTATTACTACCATCCACTCCTAATTCCTCCAACCTAACCACATGAATACCATACCAAAATAAATTTATGCCATAGCTAAAGTATTTTCTTGATTTGGTAGTATACTATCAATAAAAGGAAATGAAATGAGCCTGCCATGATTAACTTTTAAGAAACTCAAGCAGGCTTCTACATAACAGCATTTTCTTTTCAACATATTCACAAACCAACGTCACGTACGTAGTTAACGAAGTTGTCATCTATCCTGTTACTTTAAGTATCTGCAAATGAATTTAAAAAAAAAAAAAAAGGTAGCAGTATGGGGAAAAAAGCCTTAGGCTCACCTGAGACCTTAGAAGATCCCACTCTTTGAATGAGAAGTCTTCATAAAATTGATTATGCCATGATAGAGTGAGGGATGAGCCTGTGCTCACATGAAGAAAATCTCCAAACTATATCAACTCAAGTGGCCTCCACCACTTCAACCCGTACTACAGCAGATGAAAGTGAGCCTGCAACACCCATGGAAAAGAGATATACAATTTGGCCATACAACATCTAAAGCAATCTAAACACAGCTCTAGTTTTTTTTTAAAGCAGTCTACTAACCCATTGGGTCTGGTACCTCCAGACTAGTGTGGTGTTGGAAATATCTATTACTGACTGTTACAGCAAAAGCCCATTTCTGAAGTTAATAGTCTTCTTAATTAAAAAAAGCTTAAAGAGAACTGGACTGCTCATTGGTCATAGCTAAGCTTACTGGAATTTGTTCTTTTCACTCTACTTTTTCACATAGAGAGAGATGTGAGGAACAATATACCACAGAGATATTTGAGGAGAAACATATTTAACAGCTGACCTATTATCCTAACATTTCAATTCTAACTTTAGGGATTGAACTACATTAGGCAAATATGATATTTTTGATTCCGGAGCGCTCTTGAAGAAGAGACTTAGATTACAATCAGTTTTTCTTTACAGTGACTTTGTTAACAATGTAGTTTCCCATGGGCTAAAAGAGTGCTTTTGGATATCCCAAAAGTTATAGAAGTATGTCCAATCGCACTGCCCTACCCCACCCCACCTTTGCATCTAAGGATGACACACTGTTTTTCCCTAAGTCAAGACAGATAACCTGAAAAATAGGAGTCTATTTATAAAACAGTGAGAAAAATACTTGAAATCAGAGCAATACTCAAAAATCTACAACTTAAAACTCGCATATTATAAGGACCCAAAGGGAGATTAGGCCAAATACATTATATCATTCAAATGGCAGTATTCACATCAAAAGTACAATTAAGTACAGATGTTTAGTACTGGATAATCACATTAGATACTAATGGAAACCTTTCAGATTCATCTCAAATTTAATCCTGTTTCATGTTCAGAAATAAAATGACACTGAAAGTTTGTCTTCAAAATGTAAGAAAGGGGCTTCCCTGGTGGCGCAGTGGTTGGGAGTCCGCCTGCCGATGCAGGGGACACGGGTTTGTGCCCCGGTCCGGGAAGATCCCACATGCCGCGGAGCGGCTGGGCCCGTGAGCCATGGCCGCTGAGCCTGCACGTCCGGAGCCTGTGCTCCGCAACGGGAGGGGCCACAGCAGTGAGAGGCCCGCGTACTGCAAAAAAAAAAAAAAAAAAATGTAAGAACGGAGGGGGAACCTATGGGCTAAGATGACTGTCATCACTTTTTACTAAAAATGGTGACCAGAACTAGGGCAAATTCCACCTGAGAAAAATCAAGGAACTACTCTCTAACAACTTAAGGACTTGCCTACCTGACCATAAGTCAAAATGTTAAACTGTAAAATACACTACATAATTCCAGTTCTCTAACTTCAGGGAGGCTCAGGAACCACATGGAAGCCTGTGAAGCATTTTAATGCAGATTCCTTAACCTCACTTCCAAAGATTCTGATTCTGTAGCTCTGAAGTAGAGCCTGGACATGTATTTTGACAATACAGACCAAGAATTTGGAAATGAGCACTCTAAACATATTTTAATTAATGGAGGTTCAGCATATAAAATCATTAGCGTGGGTCAAATTATGTCATTATCCTCATATTATACAATTTATAACAATGGTTTTCAACTTTTGGGGAAAATCAGAGAACCTTTTGAGAAACTATATGACCTTTCCACCAAAATATGCATGTATACACACAAGATTTCAAATACAATAAGAGGTTCATGCATCTTCTGAAAGCCCAGTAAAGAAATGCAAGCTGGAATGATGTTACCTATTACATAGTTACACACAAAGTCAAGTGAAATTCTAGGTTCTTCAGTAAACATTTTGGGTTACTTTATACAAAGTATCTTTGATAATGGGCATAATTACATCAATTTCCCGTAAGAATTAGTTGGCATCCATAAAAACCTCTGGAAAGGTCAGGTTCAGCAAGAATCACTGTCATTCTCAAGAAGTTGTTTTCCTTACTCAAAAAAGCTTTAGTCATCACCAAGTTTCTAGCATTATAAAGAGGTGAAGAATCCTCGGCACATGAAACAATCAAAATTGGAATGATCTCCAATGCAAAAAGGTTTCCCATAGACTCCTATCAGAACTGTAAATACGTTTTACAGCTAAATTACTTGAATTTTAACTTTAAATATCATATAATATAGCACACAATATTTTACATGTTATTAGCATGGACAGAGCATCTTATGAAAACTGAAACAAATCTTTAAAAAGTTAAACTAAGACATTTACCTGAACTATCTATTTTAGCAATATCAAACAGCTCAAGTTCACATGGTATTTGCTAACTGGATTTTGAGGACTCTAATCAAGTAAGACTTTACTTAGCACTACATGAGTATCATTTCCATATAAAAAATGGGCTAAAGAGAAATTCAGACTGTTTAGTAAAAATGTTTTTAACAAGTAGCTTTAAAATAATAGAACTTGACAAAAGTTCAACTTACTAAATGTATTAAGATTTTTTAAAACTCTGAAGTAGATATTATATTACATAGTAGAAAAAAACTCCCCAAAAGCCCCTGTCCAGGAAGAACAAGAAGGACATCAAGATGTTCTCAGCAATTTCCTCAACAGCAGGAAATGAAAGGCTGGAGATGCCAAGGCTTTGATCAGTTTACTTTTTTTTTTCTCTCAATAGGCTTACTCATTATTAACTGATGAAAGATAACACACATATGATATTAAAAACTAAAAATCTAATGGTTCTACTATCATGACTGTCAGTTAATGCTCAAGTAAGAAAAAAGTTCTTTTGGTTCCCTAGCTCTCTGGGGGAAAAAAAAAAGCCACCTACTGGACCATTTTAGAACTGTGTAGCTTTTATTTTACATTATTAACATCAATTGTAGGAAGCTGATTTACTGATTCAGATAATTATATCCTCCAAGGCAACACTATGCCCAATTTCATGCTAATGAAAAGTTTCTTTAGTTCTATAAACGGTCATGTTTCTTGCTTATTTCCACAACTCATTCAAATGATTGTTTCTATCACATAAAAATATAAGATGCACTGGGGCCCATCTTGGATTTTTTTCTTCTGATGAAAAACTAGCAGATTATTTCTAGGTGTAATTTAACTGAAAACACTACTTCAACTTCAAATTGATTTTAATGATATGTACAGAATTTAACAAATTACAATTAAAATGGAATCAGTTATGTTAATTACACATAACTATCATGCAACACTGCATGGTAAAAACAACAGCTTCATTCATATACAAAAAAGTATTATTTTGAGACTTGTGATAGTATATTGAAATTTTTGACATAAGCTTTTGGTAAAGAGTATTTCATAAAAATTTAAAGACCTGATTAATCAGTTAATACATTATTAGGAAAGATAGTAAACATTACTAGTAAAGTGAGACTACAAGCAATTAACTTGAAAATTATACCAGATACAGGGTTGGATGTAGTCTCGTGAAATAAATGTTTGGTTAAGAAAATAGTTTTGAAAAAGATCTCATATTGAAGCTATGTATTAACTTTGTGAAATCAGGTTATATAAATCAATAGTCAAGTTTATTCAGTTAAAGAAAATATGCCTATCCTTTCTTATACTCATAAATAAGTACTTATACAGTCTTTATATACAAGTGAAGAAAAATTCAATGTAAAAATATACTGCCAATCCACTTCTTATGGTTGAAATAGCTCTTTATCTACACATTAAACTGCATTGATGAAAATGTCCAATTCATATCACATTCAACCAGCATAAATATTTAAGCTGTATTGTTGTAAACAAAAGAGAAAAACAAATTCTTTTATTTCATCACTGGGTAACAATCTACTTCTCAACTTAGAATGCTATAGAAAGGCTCAACATTTAATCAAATCCAAACCCACTGAACTTGGAGTAAACAAAGTGAATGTTTTAAAAGTGCACAATTTCCAACTCATCCACTTGTAATATTTATCCAATTCCAGTTCATCAGCGAGAAAATAAAATGTACTTAGCTATAAAAATACTAAGGAATGTTATTGAAAAGGAAAGGCTATTTGGTAGAAGTAACTACAAAAATAATTAGTTTAAATCTTCATAAAGCTTTAATGCAAGAACATCAGTACACTTTCTTTCCATAAACCTTAAAGCATGATCAATACCAAGATTTTAAATTTCCACCTTTCCAGTACTTGAAAAGAAGTTGCAATGAAGTGTCTCTTCAAAAAGCAAGAAGAATGATCATGCAGGTGTTACTCTGCTGACATTTGGGGACATGGATATCTCTGCTGGGTTGTCATCTCTGGCTCCACTGGCAGCAAGTACAGGCAAGGAGTTACTCTGAAATGCAGATGTCGGACAACTAGTCATGCCAACATTTTCATCTTCACCATTGTCTGAATCTGGTGTTGTAACTTCACTGTCCTGCAGCCCCAGGATCTCACAAACTGCTTGTGGCAACTCCTGAATAAGAAAAATCAAATATAAAATCATCATTCACCATAGAGGAAAAGTAATCACAAATTAACACTTCTATTTAATACTACATCTAAGCATTTGCTTTAACAGTGTAATTGTTATGCACCCTCTCAAACCATCCTTCTCCACTCCAAATGAAACCCTTAACCACTCTTTTTAATAAGTGGTTCTCTGACCTTCTATTCTGAATTAGCCACTCTCCACCCCATCCCACCACTCCCACAAGCATATTGTTTTCTAATATTTTGCATTTATTTCATTCTCCTTATTGACACCATCTTTCTCCCTCAATACACAGAAGTTCCTTAAACATAAGAAGTATCTCACTGACAGGTTTTTTGGGTTTTTTAAAAAAATTATTTTGGCTGCGTTGGGTCTTCATTGCCGCACACGGGCTTTCTCTAATTGTGTCGAGCAGGGGCTATTCTTCGTTGCAGTGCATGGGTTTCTCATTGCGGTGGCTTCTCTTGTTGCGGAGCACGGGCTCTAGGTGCACAGGCTTCAGTAGTTGTGGCTTGCAGGCTCTAGAGCACAGGCTCACAGTTGTGGCGCATGGGCTTAGTTGCTCCGCGGCATGTGGGATCTTCCGGGACCAGGGCTCGAACCCATGTCCCCTGCATTGGCAGGCGGATTCTTAACCACTGTGCCACCAGGGAAGCCCTCACTGGCAGGTTTTGAACAGAACAGCTATCAAATAACTGTGTGTAAAACTGAACCAAAATAAATATTTGGAACCATGATCAAATGACACGAAGACCAAATAAGAATTCTCATAAAAAATATGAAAACCAAAATACATCAAAAGTCTAATACTTTGGTTTAAATTCAGAACATAACACATCAACTTTGCCTTGTTTTTAGAGATTATTAAGAGTTTGACTGATACAAATGTAATGACATAGACCAAATACTCTTCATTTAATTATTTCTGATTAGCATCTGTCTTTACTTAAAGATACTACATATTTAATATGAGGTCCTATTCTGTGTTCTTTGATTAGGTAATTTATCAATGCTTCTGCAGCCTCTTTATTGTTTTCATTACTTTTGTCATTTTGCCTTATTATTATATGTTTCCTATCTAGCATAATTAACCAATTGTTTTCAATTAAGTGCTGTAAATTTATAATGGTAAACAAATGCTAGCCAATGCTTTGTGTCTGCCTTCAACTTGCTGCCAATTTTACTTCTGAAAGGAAAAATTCTTTCTTGACCTCAATCCACCAAAAACATATGAACAAAAAAAATCTTACAATTACTTAAAACACTGTATACCTTGCATTTTACCATCTGTAGAGAAATTGCTTCTGCCTTGCATAGTACATCTTCCACATCAATTTTCATGGACAATTCATTGATATGCTAAAATAAATCAATAAAATAAAATAACTGAAACTGAAACACTATTATATTCTACTATACAACTTATTACCAGTTATATTACACTGTAGATGAAATCCTTAAAATAAAAACACCCTCATACTACAAGTGAACAGGAAATTTAATGTATCTTTCATTAGATCATTTTAAGTTTTAAAGCTAAAGAATAGCTAATAAGCTTACGGAACATTAAATCCAGCAGTTGTCCCAAGTCTACTATCTCAAGTTATAAGCAAAAGAATTATTTTTTTAGAAAATTGAACTACATAAAAGAGCACTTGCTGAATTTCCTTTTCCTCCTAATTAGCTAGGAAAAATAACTGGCAATACGTACTTGCTGAACTGTCATTCTCAGAGAGTCAGTCCTAGTACTGACTGTCATTGATAAAATTTAAATTACTTGAGGGATTCAATAATGTTCCAAGGAAATGTATGTATATCAATACCACCAAAAAGAGGAAAGAGTCAAAATATTAAAATTTAAGTTAAAGTAACAACTACCTTAAGTATTTCATTAAAGCCATAATGCTTTTCCATTATTTGCTGCTTTTCTGATTCCAGAATAGCACAACAGAGAAGAAGATGGAAATTTTTACATGGTAGTTCAGTCCACATTACCTATAAAAAATAGAACACCTATTTAGTAAACTCTATCAATTCTAAAATATTTTCCTCACAGATACAATGCCGAACTCTGAATGACTTCTGTGCAAAGCACGAGTTGCCTTGATGGGGTAGTCCACTCTTTTTCTAGTTAAGAAATGAGGTGTGAGGAAGGAAAGTCTTACTTTTACCTACAAAGTAACTATTATATTAATAGTTAATATAATATTAACTATTATATGAATATGATGAGTTCCAAATGTGGCTCTTTAGGTAACTACAGTAACATTGAACCTAACCAGTATGATAAATGGTATTAACTAAGGAGCCACAGTCATGAGGTTAAAGTGTAAGGGCCAGAGGTATTTTCAGTATTTTTCTGAACCTTCAGTTTTTCACTTTTAAATCATCTTCAGTCTCGGTGGGGCGGGAGCGGGGGAGGGGTACAGGGGAGCTAAATCATGGGAATAAAGATTCAGTTGTACACTGCATGGAATTAAAAACACCCAGAGGTAGCTCTACATTCTAAACATCATATTATATAACTCAGAATATCTCTGACAAAAACTGAATTGACCACCCAAAATTTATACCCAAATGTATAAAACATTTGATCAATAGCTGCACTTCTTCCTAAGTATAGCCAATGCCCTAAAACTTAAGTTCTTAATTTCCCCCGGTTAATGTACCTAATAATATCTTTTTTAGAAAGATCAAAAGAGCCATGTAAACACTATTATTAAAGCATACCTGAAATGTTTTTACTTCTTTTACCAGAAGTAAATTAAGCAGAATAATTTTCAGACTAAATCCAATTCTTAAAAGTTTAATTACAATGCAATTAACCTCAAAAGTTTCATTAAAAGTTCCAATTTATTTGGTAAACACAGACTAAGGAGTTATTACAGCTATGTTGATAATTTTTTAAAAAGAAGTTGAGATAACAATTTAATAAAATTGATTAACTTTAAAATATGATTCTGGGTCAAGAACATGTGCGTTTTCCTTCTAATTTCAAACAAAGAAAGTGATCCTCCATAAAGTGGTGATCCTTCAATCAGTGCATCACCTTCTCTAATGGCAGCACAGTCACCAGAAGTACAGGAATCAATTTCCAGGTGTAAAAGCCTCAGGGTGCCCACTGTATACAAGTCTATTTATTATCCAAACAGATTATTTCCCCCATTCTTTCCTTGGGAATATTTCTGTCATCTTTACTTTTATAAAGATAAGGCATCAAGCAGTCATTATACCAATATTCTATTTCAAAAGCACATCCATCTGTTAACTTAACAATTAATAGATGTATAAGAAGAAAATAATAATTTTCTGTTTTTCATCAAGAGTTGCCCTGGGTGCAAGAGGGAATAAAAGGATATAAACCAAAAACATGATCATGAATATCCTCTAGAGAGGGGAAGAGGGAAATGGGGCTTGGGGTGGTGATTAAAGATATGAGCTATATCTTTAAATACTTTTTGTCTTGGAAAGAAAGAGAAAAAACCAGAAGTGAATACGGCAAAATATTTACATATGTTAAATGTGGATAGTGGGATATTTGTTATATTATTCTTAGTATTCTGCTGTAACTTAAAGTTCTTTAAAAAAGCAAAACACAAGTCAGTTCCCTCCCAATATTTCAGACTACAAATAAAGTACTATCTCAATTGACTGGCCTGCCAAAACTTCCTTAACTCTATTCAAATCTACACCCAAATGTGGCAGGGCCTCACATAAAGTCAAGCCTTCCAAGGAAAGAACACAGGCACAAGTGGTCCAGAGAACTGGTTCTGGGAAACTCACTGGCACCCAATCGCACAAGGATTTGATTTACAGAAAAAAGCTCCAAAGACCACACATTCATTTCAAGATGGTTAATTTTTTTTTTTTTTTTAAGGAGAGACCACAAACCATTAGAATTTTCAGAACGTAACTGCTTTAGAAATTTCAGTCAAGATATTATAATCCATTTACACTCTACAGATACAAAATGTTTCCATAAAAAATATTAATTTTTACAATAATTTAAGAACTTACCTCCCATAATCGAAGAATATCTAGAAAACTAAATTCCCTTTTAAATCTGATTAAAAGCCATCTGAAGCAAAAATAAAGGTATCCAGAGTCCTGGGATTCTACACAGAAAAAAATATATATATGGCTTACTCATGCTAATTATCTCAGAATACAGTGACCTATTTCAAACCCAAGTTTTTCTATTCATCTTAGGCTATTAAAAGTCCTATAAATTTAATTGCCTTCTACTAATTCAAGGAAACAATTTAAATTTGCAGGCTAACTTCTTTAAAAGAAAACCACCAAATAACAACAAATACAGTTGACCCTCCATATCTGCAGGTTCTGCATCCGTGGATTCAACCAATCATGAATGGAAAATTTTTGGAAAAAAAAAATTTCCAGAAAGTTCCAAAAAGCAAAACTTGAATTTGCCTTGCCTAGCAACTATTTACATAGTCTTTACATTGTATTTACAACTATTCACACAGCAGTTATATTGTGTTAGGTACAATAAATAATCTAGAGATGATCTAAAGTCTACAGGAGGATGTGCATAGGTTATATGCAAATACTGCACCATTTTATGTAAGGGACTTGAGTATCCTCAGGTTTTGGTATAGGGGTGGCGGGTGGGTCCTGGAACCAATCCCCCACAAATAATGAGGGACAACTATAATTCACTTTATAAATAAACTGTTTTAAGGCAAAATTATACAAGGACTGTTTGGTCCCACACTTTTATTCCTCAGAGGAACCCAGGCAACATTGGTAGAGTATATACATCTTTAAAAGAGCTCTTTACATTTTTTCTCTGTTCGTATTACCTTACAATTTGCTGGGTATAGTTTTGTTTCATTAAACTTACCTAAGTAACTGCAAAATCCACTGTCCAACAATCGAAGTAAGGTACTTAGCTGAATTAGCTGGGTCTTCATGCCTTGCATTTGTTCTTCAAAATTTTGATGCTTTAAAAAAATAAATGTTATCACATAAGTTATATTTAATAAATATTTTACAGTACATAATCACCGATAACTATGCCATGAATATAATGACAAATGCTGGATTTATACCACACTGGTTATATTTTTAAATCACAACTAATTAAAATGCTAAAGCAACATCAAAAAGGAGGAAAGAGAAACTTGGTCTCAAACTAAGAATTATTTTTTCCCTCTATTCATTTTTTTTTTTAGATAAAGAATAATGCAGAGACAGCAGGGGTAGACTGACTGATATATCAATACTTATTTCTTACGTCAAATAAGAGACTTGGTGAATGGAACACACATTGGAAAATAGACTTTTATCAAATCACTTCACTGTTAAATATTTCTTCAATTTAACATATGAAATAAAATTAATTTTAGCTTTAACATATCATGTTAAAGAATTAGCTAATTATTTCTTAGATTTGATGACATTAGGGAATCTATGAAGTCAAAACCATTTCATAACAACACTAACACAATCTATGCATTTTGCACTTTAAATTCCCCCATAAGTGTAAAGGCTATATGATGTGTGATATTGCAACAGACTGCATACAGGAGCGGATATGCAAGTCAGCTGTGTTCTATTAAACTAAACTACTAAACTAAACATTAAAGAAAATGAAAAATAATCCCTCTTCTCAGTAAACTGTTTTGGAAAAGTTATTTTTCATTAAAAAAAAATGTATGTATACCAAGATGTAGCATTTTTAGATGAATGAATAAATAAATATTTATAAATTTCCTAGCATTAATTTTTCATATGACAAACATCAATAGATATAACCCACATAAACAAAAGCTCTTGGAAACCTCAATAATATTTAAGAGTGTGAAGGGGTCCTGAGATCATAAAGTTTGAGAACTACTGTGGTTACACATGTTTTAAATAATCTTTGAAGTTTAACAGATTCCCTACCAACACTTCAGTCAAGATTTGGGGATGGGGAGTGCACCAAAATAAAGGCTTCTTAGATGATTCTGATCCCTTTAACCCTAGTGTTCTAACCCCTTTACGGTGAACTACTGCCCTAACCTTTGTGAAAGCCTAAGAACAACATCCCCTCCTTCACACTTCTTTTTTCGTTCCTGAGACAATAATAGTGCTTTATTAGAAGTATCCATCTGATTAGAAACCATTCATTCCTGGTAAAAAAGAATTTTGAAAATTAAGGGCTACTGATTCTCAATAAAATGGCTTCTCTTCAGTGATTTAAATAGTTTAATTAGTGAACGAAATAGTTTAACAGACTAACGCAAGCCTTTGGGATATAGTTTCTTCACATTTCCCACATGGAACTATAAGGGAAAGGCAGAATTAACTCTTTGATTAACAGCATAATTTTTGTTGTGACATGACCAAAAGCTAAAATTGGTTTGGAAGTATCAACATGGCATAGCCACTGCTACCCACTCTGCTATAAAAAGCAGCACTCCCAAAATGACAGAAGCCGACTTCAGAAAAGTAGCTACTCCTGGAGAAAGGGCAATGAGGTCAACAGTGGATATACACAGGGCATCAAGTGTAACTGTAAATAAATATGTGTGTGCATACGTATACATAGGAATGCACATATGCATGCATGTATAAATATATGTATATGTACATGTATACAGGTATGTGTGTGTGTATATATATGGATGGGGGTGAGAAGGAAGGGTGGGACAAAACTATATGGCAAAATGAATGGTGGCTATAAGAAAGTTCGTCAGATCGTTCTGCAAATATTTCTATATTTCGAAAACAAAGTCTATGCCTAGACCTACATTAGATGTGAGTAAATATCAACAAAAGTAAATCTACAGACACTGAATTCAGCCTCACTAAAGTAGTTAAAACTTATGTTAAATAAATCCATAAAACAAAAAGGAGTCAAACAGCAGCACAGATTCAAGGACACCAAAACAATAGCAATGCCGTGAAAAATAATTGTGCGGATTATTTTGATTGTAACTTATTGCCCTTTCATTCAAATATTATGAAGCAAAAGATGTTAGTAGACAATATATTAAGAGATCTTTTTAGAATAAAGACTAGAAAAATCCCCAGACCATTCTCAATGGAAAAGGCAAACAGAGAACATTTACTGTGAAAGAGACAGAACAAAGAACTTGAACCTTCATACACAAAAATGACAAATAGACTGTGAAGTGGTACACTGCAGATGTTCAGAAAGTAGTCTTTACATTTGACACCTAAATACATGCACACATATGCATGTATGTATGTATTTGGCACCACAAGCCAATATATTTGAACATGCCAATATTAGCTCAGTTTTATGAAAACTATTACTGTGAAACACTAAATAACGTGTGTTTGTGCTAATTCTTGGAATACCTACTGTAAGTAGAGGTCTAAACTAAGCACTGGGGAAATATTCATGTGTTTATTCTACAAAAATCTGTTGAACAAAAACCTCATGTCAGGCATTAGGAAAATTCTGGAAGCATATCAGAGAACTAGTTAAACAAAGACATGACCCCTTTATCAAGGTGCATACTAGCTCTAGTGCAAAGAGGATAAACAACAAAAACACAAGGAAAGCAGACAACAGTTTCTACACAATTAGTTATCAGTTGTACAGACCTTTATAACAAATGCCTCAGGTTTCTAGAGCACCTGGGAGTAATTGGAACTAAGAAGGCAGGTAAAATCAATCAATCAAAAAGGTAAGGAATACAAACTATGATATTACCATATTACTGCAATTAATAATCTTTCCAAATAATCCAAAAACATTAATTCATGGTATCTTATCAAGTATGGAAAAGAACTAGGAGAAGTGAGGATGAGTTGGAACCATGGATAAGAGACTTGAGGAAACAGATAAAATTGGGACAAATTAGAAGGGGAAACAAAAAACAGGCAAGCAAGAGAGGAAGAATAGAAGTAATCAAAAAATAGAACTAATCAAAAAATTTCACATCTGTATCCCAGACTCTCCACTACAGGGAAACATTTTATATGACTACATATTCAAATCTTTATTCCCTTGCAAGCAAGCCATTTCAATATCCAACCATCAAGGCCCAGCATCAAGTATATTTATTTTACTTTGAAACAGTACAGTGACCTATGTAGTCAGGTCTTTGGATTTCATATGCTTTTATATGCTCTTAGCCCCTTTGCTTTTTTTTCCCCCTTTCTAATAGATTACTTGAGAAGACTGTTCTATTTTCCTGTTAATACTGTACTATTGTCCTAGAACTCTGTCTTCAAGATGTACCAATGATAATAGATAAAATGTTCCTTATAATAATATGTATATATAGACACAGTTCAACTCTAATAATCGCATGCTTAAGAAAAAACTAAGAAGCTGTCAACGTTACAAATAGTTCAAACACATCTGGAGAAAAATCAGCCACTATGATGACAAAATACAAAATGTTCACAAAAGGTAAGGATATTACTTGGCATGACTAAGCTTTATCTCTGAAACAGATGATATGAAAGTTCAACTACTTCACAAGAACTGAAATCATCTATTTCATCAATATTCTATAATGACTCATGGTTCTTCTGCAGATCATAAGCATTTACCAATATTAAATCCTGATTATTCCTGTTCTATAGGCACTTATTATCTACTTTTTGTATTAAAAACAATACCAGCATTTCCAAGCCTCTTGAAAAGGCTATTTAAAAAAGAAACAAACAACATTGAGCAGTTTTTTTTAAGTTCTACCATAATTGGCTAAATATAAACATCAATCTTATAAGATTATTATGCAACTAAAATTTTCAGAATTAGTTTGGAATGGAACCTTACCATTTGGTCCATGTAGGAGGCAAAGCACCAAAAGGCATCTACTTCATTTTCCATCACATATAAAAGAGGGGAAAGTAAGTCACTCATTCCTTGCACATATCCTAAGAAGAACAGAAAAAACTAATCATATCTCTAAAAACCTAAGCTTTATGTATCCATCTGTGCATACCACCACCATTTCACTTAAAACTGCATCGTTTTTCTTGGTTTCAGAAACTGGTCGATACTGATGTTTGTAAACAATGAGGAGGAAATCTAGCAATCAGGTGAGAAAGGTGAGTTGTTTTGTACTGAGACGTCAACAGATACATAACTGCTAGTATGTGTCTTAGTGTAGATATCATTATCAAGGGAGGGTAATATTATTAAAAAATAATGTGCAAAAGCATTATGATAAAGAAGAGGGTTGAAGGGAAACCCAGAGGAATATCAAATTTAATAAATATTAAAAAAAAAAAGTCAAAGGGAAGAAAGCTGCAAGGCCAGAGTAGTCAACCACCACCAAACTACGATGAATAAGCCCAGTAAAATAAGAACTAAAAAGGGTCCAACTGCTTTATCAACCAGACACTGGTAATCTACCCAAAAGGAATCACAACAAAATTACCTCTTTTAAGTGGTTGTATTTATGTTCTCTTTTTTTTTTTCCTTTTGCTGTTACTCTAGACCCAACCAATGCTAGCAAATGGGCTTATTTAATCCAATCAATATTTTGTACCTAAAGCTACCATCTTAACCACCTTTCTCTTGTGCTCTTATAATTTCTCATCATGACACTAATTTGCAGCGTTAGATTAAAAGATAAATTGGAAAGTTAAAGAATCAGGCCCCTCACTTAAAAAACAAACAAAAAATCTTAGTTTTGCTTTTCACCTGACCATGTCAAATGTCTTATTTTTTAGTTCCATCTTATAAAATTCTCAATTTTCTTAATTGTTTTACAATTAGATTTCAGACTTAAGATACAGATTCTTGAATCCACAAAGGGACAAGAGCTCTTAACTAAGCCTTTTCACATACATATCATTCAACTTTGGTAACTTTTGTACATTCATTAAAGTTACATAGAGATTTTTTTCCCCAGTGATAGCTTGGGAAGTCTGTGGAAAACATACAGTCTTTCATTCGCAGGACCAACACTTACATTCTTATCGTTCACCAATATCTGTGTGCAATGAAGCCATTTAAAACAGTATACATTTTTAAAAGGGAGGGGATACTTCTGCTTGCAGTTATACATAATTTTACATCACTCTTCCTATTCTGGAAGACAACTTTAAAAATGACCCCAGGAAGCATGTAAGCCAGTCTCTTGAGAAAACTCAGATTAAAAGTGTAACAGAAAGAGACAGTTCACTTCAGGATCTCCTTACACATAAAAGTTTAGCTCTATCTGCTCTTAGCCTCTACCCTGTTGAAATGGAGCAGGACCCTACGGTCCTTGCACCCCACATCCTCAACCTGCCTTTTGTCTGTGGAAAAACTTTAGCCAAAGAATAAGTTTAATCAGAGAAGTGAGAAAATGCTGAAACAAAGGAAAACAGTCAAAGGAGACCAAATAATAATAGTTCAGTCATTAAGCAGTCAAGGATCTTTAGTTCCTTCTTAAGGGCTGTAGATAATATTCTGAGCCATATCCTGTGAGCTGTCTTAAAGAAACTGAAACCCCCAGCAGGTGGAAGAAGTTAACTACATGATGACCAGGCTGCAGCCATGAGCTGCCACAATTCTGAGAACTGGCCTCAAAGAAATGGAAACAAACCGACCCTAGAACTGAAGATTAACTGTACCTAAAACAATCAAGATGATGCTGATCAGACCACTGATGACCAATTTCAAGATGACTGTCAAAGCTGACTGTGCTGTTTCTGCATGTAGCCCCCTCCCTCCGTCTATAACAGCTCTTGCCCACTGACTGTCATTGGTGGGAGTCAGTCTCTGGACAGACGTCTGCCCTTACCACCCCCCGACCCCCACACTGACAGTATCCAAAACAAAACAAACTTTCCTTTCCACCAACCTGGCCTCTTTATTGGCTTTTGAGCAACAAGCAGCCAGACCCCACTTTCAGTTACAATACCATCTACTGCTACGCCTAATCCCTCCCAACCTCACTATGTCTACACTACACCCTGCGGAAAAGTATGTCTCTACGCACGTTAGCACACACACAAAAAAACTTAGGTTCCCGTGGCAGGTATCCAATTATTACAGTACCAAACAATGGAGTTACCAAGACATTTAGAGAAAAGTGCTAGAAAAAATGGCATACGACATGATATCTAAATGTAAGCATTTATACAAATTTATTACAGATGCTTTTTTTAAAATAATACATACGACATGATTAATTCTGTGTGTCAACTTGAGTGGGCCACAGGATGCCCAGATGTCTGGTTAATCATTATTTCTGGGAGTATCTGTGACTGTGTTTCTAGAAGAGATTAGCATTTGAATTGGTGAACTGATTAGAGCAGATGGCCCTCAGCAATGTGAGGAGGCATCACCCAATCCACTGAGGACCTGAATAGAATAACAAGATGGAGGAAGATTGAATTTGCTCTCTGCTTGGCTGGTTGAGCTGAGACAGCGCTTTGCCCTCAGTGCTCCTGGATCTCATGCCTTCAGACTCAGGACTAGCATCTACACCACTGGCTCTCCTGCTCTCAGGTCTTTAAACTACACCACCAGCTTTCTTGAGTCTCCACCTTATAGATGGCAGACTGTGGGACTTTTCAGTCTCCATGATCACATGAGCCAGTATCTTATAAGAAACCTTTTTTTTTCTTTATTCTTTCCCTGACTAATACAACACTTTTAAGAAAGAATAAGTAGGTTAGAAGGAAGACTAGACTGTTATCATCAGAACTTTCCTACATGGCAATGACACAGTGAAAGCAATGACAAATATAAAAGCTAAACCAATTAAAGCATGAAGGAAATTTATGTGAATTCAACAAAGTGGAAAAGAGTACCACTTTCCTGGGTCTGACCACATACAGTCTGTAACAGAAATATTTCAAAGCATGCTGTTCGAAAGGTTTACAAAGCACCTTTCCTCTGGGGCGGGGGGGGGGGAAGTGCTTTATTATAAAGTTATAATGAATAAAAATTTCTAAGAAGCTCATTTAATCCTTTAAGTCTTCAGCTTTCATATGGGATCACTACCATAAAGTTTTAGTTAAAGCAAGCAGTCAAATTAATCTTCATATTCTTGTTGCTTTTAATCTATTTTATTTTATACATGATGTTCTTTGGGGTATGTCATGAGTTGTGGGTGTGGAATTAATGTACAAATTCCTTTTAATTAAAGAAAGATTAAAGCTGTTTAAATTAGCATTCAGTGATGCTCAAATTCTGCACTAGTGCTGACTGATGTACATCTTAATCAGCACTACTACAATTTCTGAAGTAGTTCCCCAAAATTATTTTCATAGCAAAGTTGTTTCAGTGTGGAGGTGTGAGAAATGAACTCCTTACCATCCTAGCGTACACATTCTTAAAGAGAAAAAAAAATTTCATGTATATACAGGTGAACATTCCAGGTTAACTGAAGCTTATTCGGTTATTAGAGGATCAATTTTATTTTTTTAAATCTTAAGAGGTGGAAATCATTTTTTTTTTTAACTAGACACTCTCCTGCCTTCTTACATACAGTATTTTGAGTATAATTTAACCTTTTACTGCTTATTCAGGATCAAATTATGAACATACACTGTAAAAAAAAAAAAAAGATACCTCCCATAGAAACAACTTAGATATAGTGTCTGCACTAACTAAAAATTACTCTTCCTTGAGTTCTTCTGTCTGCTTTTGTTAATTTTTATCTTCTTCCTCACTATTAATGAAACTATATTCAACACAAATACACCTACATCTCATCTATGGGCTAAAAAGCCAAACAACTCAATAGGAAAGAATCAACTATAAGAGTAAATTTACAGCCCGGATTACTTTGCTATGAGTAAAAAGCAAGAAATTTGGTCCAGTGCTTTATGAAAACTACCCTGGCTTCTCCCAAGGCCAGAGTTCTTAATAAAATCCCTGGGTATGTTTCAAATAACTTAAAGTATTTGACTGGAAAGAATGTGGGGTTAATATAGACAAACGGGAACAGCAATTTATCCAAATAGCTGGTCTGGGACTCAGTTCCTGAAAAAACTGAGCATTCAGGAACTCCTTCTGAGAATATGCATTAATTCCTATCTCAAAATTACCAACTTAGAGTACAGGGCAATGCCTCTTGTTCCCTAGGACGACAGCCCTATTCCCCACAGTGGTTAACAGAAACTAAAATGGCAATGGGTCAGGGTGCTGAATGTGTAGAGGTAAGAATGCCAGGCTGCAATAAAGACCTGGGTCTCTACCCCCAGTCCAATATTTACTACTTGTACAACCCTGAGTCACAGTCTAAATCAATATAACTTTACTTATAAAGTGGGGATTATTTCCCCACTTCTTCAAAAGGCTTCTAATAGAATCAAAATTGAAATCAAAATTACGTAATAACAGCACTCTGTAACCTGAGAAGCACTCTACTAATATTTTCAACAATCCAATTTGAGGCTCACTATAGGTGTGACAGACAGGACTGGCTACATTTCACATTTTAAAGAGAAATCTGTGATATTCAACTACTGTCACCAGAGGCTGATGCCTCAAGATCCACAACAGAGTTTACATCTTCCCCTAACTTACATGTAAGAATCCAAAAGGAATTCTTTTGGATCAAGTTCTCTTGTCCCTTAAAATATTGGTTCCTTAGGCTTTCCATCCCTTAGCATCGCTTCCCCATGCAATCCCCCCAACTCCCACCACCAACCCCAGTCTTTCCAACCCATTCTTGGTAGAAAACAGACTAACCAAGAAAAGAGAGTAAAGCTCCACACGCCCTACATAATTATATGCACCATTTGTCTATAATATCAAATCAGCATTTTTCTTCACAAGGGATAAGCCTATCAAAAAAAGGTTCCCAAACTTTCTCAATTCACAGTACCCTTAGTGCCTCAGGAATTGTTTTCCAAGGCACCCCTAGGCTCAAAAATATTACTAACAATTTCCATTTATTAAACAGATCCAAACAACTTAATTAATATTTATATCCTATTTAACTTAGCACCTGTTGGGCACTACACTACTCAAAACCTTGGAATCCAATTGGATGCCACCATCCTCATCTATTTTCACACAGTACTTGCTTATCATGGCAAGGCCAAAAACTCTGCTTTGTAAAGATATAACTTCATCAGAAGGAGTCTGGTGATCTAATGATGAAACCCTGAACTACTCCAGTTAGTAGTTAGAGCAGTGTCCTACAGATGTCACTATATTTCCCTCAAATATTTAAAATATCCCACATTGTCCCCATGAGTTTGCATGAGCAACCCAGTGCTCCTTGGTGCACAATTTGGGAACCAAAGCCTTTTAAGTTTCCAGTCCCCTGTGGAACACCCCTATAAAAACTAGGCCACAGAACTATTTACATGTTCCTAACAGGTTAATAAATTTAAATTCTAAAATAAACATACATAATATCTTTAAATTAGGATGTTAGAGGAGAACTTACCTAAATCAAAATCATACATACAGTAGGTCATCAAAATGTCATGAAGCAAAATCAACCCTGGATTATCTTGGCCTTCATAAAACTTGTTTGTTCGATCTGTTCTGTTAACATCTTTTTCTGAGGAAGAAAATCATCACATATTTGAAAACCTTTAGAATAACAGATTTTTATAAAGCTCACATCTTACAAGTACAGAGTTATTCTTCTTGTTATTAATCTTACTCTCTTGCCAAGCTTTTAAAATGAAAAAATTCATCAAATTCCATTTCAGATATGCAATAAAGTAACATTTTGGAATTTTTTTCCGAAGTCAGTCAACCTCCTCTTGGGTATATTTTTAAATATTTTTCAATTTTTATCTAAACATAGAAATCTTTTAATTGAATAGCAGGAAATACATTCAATTAATTAAAACCAACACCAAGTAATAGTTCACATTAGTTAGCAATAAAAATGCCAGTCATGGGCTTCCCTGGTTACCCTGTGGTTAAGAATCTACCTGCCAGTGCAGGAGACATGGGTTTGAGCCCTGGTCCAGGAAGATCCCACATGCCACGGAGCAACTAAGCCCGTGCGCCACAACTATTGAGCCTGCACCCTAGAGCCCGTGAGCCACAACTACTGAAGCCTGAGCGCCTAGAGCCTGTGCTCTCTGCAACAAGAGAAGCCACCACAATGAGAAGCCCGTGCACTGAAACAAAGAGTAGCCCCCGCTCACTGCAACTAGAGAAAGCCCGTACAGCAACGAAGACCCAAAGCAGCTGAAAACAAATAAATAAAATAAATTTATTTATATAAAAAATGCCAGTCATGAATACATGTGATAGGCAGTATTACTTGAAAACAGTAATGAAAAAAGTTACTATGCAATCAAGTGTAATCAAACAGATTTGTTTCATTCATAATTGCTTCATTCATTATGAGAAGTACTGTCAACTTCTTTGTCATGTTCCATAACCATCTTTAGGACAAATTACGTCTTCATTCTCATATATACATTATTCAGTTTACATATAAAATAAATAAATAAATAGTTTACATATAAAATAAGCAATCTATTTTAATTTTGAAAAAAAAAGAAAATCCACATTTTTCTGGAAATGATTTTAAGACATTAAAAACAGTTTTAGAAACATCACCAGGAGTGTATCTCAAGTTGTACTGACAATTCAATTAATAAACACTGATACCTGCTAGATGCATCTTGTGAAACAACTAAAAAGGCATTCCCCAAACTTCAATCCCTCAGTAAATTACGAAAAAATAATTTAAAGAAATTTAAAGTGATTAATTTACTCTATAATCAATTTTGTTTAAAAGTTATAACTGTCCTCTCCCCCCATTAAATTTAATAATCTGAAAACATTCTCAATAATTGTTGTGAAGAGATGAGGAGGTATTTTTCAACAAAGCAATCTAAACTCATGATATGAGTTTAGATTCTATAAGGGCATTTTAAAAATCAGCAGAACAATATTCTAGCTTTTTGTTGAGCTATCTTAAAATAGCTTAATAAATATAAATATAGCATATATCTATAGAACTGTGAATACATTTTTCAAACAAGGAAAAGCAATACCAAAAAATCATGCTACAAATGTCAAATTTTATTTAAAAACACCAAAATGTTTCATTCTCATATCATAGTTGATAGAGGTACATGATAAGTTATTTTTTATTAACTCAAGCACAATTTACATAGTCATAATGCCAATATAGAATATCTGCCTTAATAGGTGTTTTAAACACAGTAAAAAGTTATTTGTGCCCTCATGAACTATCTGTCTCTCTTTCCTCTTGTATAGTTATTTAGTACTGACATGCCAGGCAGAAAACAAAAAGGTATCAACAATGATATCAAGGGACTTCCCTGGTGGTGCAGTGGTTAAGAATCCACCTGCCAATGCAGGGGACATGGGTTCGATCCCTGGTCCAGGAAGATCCCACATGCCATGGAGCAACTAAGCCTATTCGCCACAACTACTGAGCCTGCGCTCTAGAACCAGGGAGCCACAACTACTGAAGCCCGTGCGCCTAGAGCCCATACGGTAGTTCTATTTTCAGTTTTTTGAGGGACCTCCATACTCTTTTCCATAGTGGCTGCACCAATTTACAGTCCCACCAACAGTGTACAAGGGTTCCCTTTTCTCCACATCCTCACCAACATTTGTTAGTTGTGGTCTTTTTGATGATAGCCTTTCTGTCAGGTATGAGGTAGTATCACACTGTGGCTTTGATTTGCATTTCTCTAATGGTTAGCAATGCTGAGCATCTTTTCACGTGCCTGTTGCCCATCTGTATGTCTTCTTTGGAAAAATGTCTACTCAGGTCTTCTGCCCATTTTTTAATTGGTTGCCTGGTTTTTTTGAGCTGTTTATATATTTTGGATATTAACCAATTACCAATCCCATCATTTACAAATATTTTCTCCCATTCAGTAGGTTGTCTTTTCATTTTGTCAATGGTTTCCTTTGCTGTGCAAAAGCTTTCAAGTTTAATTAGGTCCCACTTGTTTATTTTTGCTTTAGTTTCCTTTGCCTTAGGAGACAGATTCAAAAAAATATTGCTACAATTTATGTCAAAGAGTACTGTGCTTATGTTCTCTTCTAGGAATTTTTATGATTTCACACCTTACATTTAGGTATTTAATCCATTTTGAGTTTATTTTTGTATATGCTATGAGGAAATGTTCTAATCTCATTGTTTTATACGTAGCTCTCCAGTTTTCCCAGCACCATTTATTGAAGAGACTGTCTTTTCTCCATTGTATATTCTTGCCTCCTTTGTTGTAGATTAACTGATCGTAAGTGCATGGGTTTGTTTCTGGGCTCTCTATACTGTTCCACTGATCTATGTGTCTGTTTCTGTGCCAGTACCATGCTGTTTCAATAACTGTAGCTTTGTAGTATAGTCTGAAGTCAGAGAGCATAATACCTCCAGCTTTATTCTTTTTTCTCAAGATTGCTTTGGCATTTTGGGGTCTTCTGTAGTTTCACATTAATTTTAGGATTATCTGTTCTAGTTTTGTGGGAAAATGTCATACATTTTCAACCTCTTCTCGCTCTCTCCTCCTTCTGGGACCGCCATAATGCAAATGTTGGTATACTTCATGTTGTCCCAGTGGTCCCTTAAATTGTTCTCATTTTTTAAATTTGTTTTTCTTTTTGCTGTTCTGATTGGATGATTTCCATTATCCTATCTTCCAGACCACTTACATGTTCTTCTATATCAGCCAGTCTGCTATTAATTCCTTCTAGGGTGTTTTTCATTTCAGTCACTGTATTCTTCAGTTCTGATTCTTTTTTTATATTTTCTAGCTCTGTGTTAAAATTCTCACTATGTTCATCTATTACTTTCCTTACTTCAGGTAGCATTCTTATTACTAATACTTTGAATTCTTTATCTGGTAAATTGTTTATTTCTATTTCATGACTGTTTTCAGGGGTTTTCTCTTACTCTTTCGACTGAGACAAATTCCTGTGTTTTCTCATTTTGCTTAACTTTCACCTAGTTTCATAGAGAAATCATTTAAAGGTGTCATCATGTGGGAGAACCCCTATACAGTTAGCGTGTGCCCAGTGGCTTTGGAGGGAGAGCTGGATTTGACTTGAACACGGATCACATCTTTCCTGAGAGCATGCTGGTAGCTATCACCTTGGTAGGAGGTGTGGTTGGAGATGAAGGGCCTAGGGCCAGAGCCAGGTGTGACCTGGGACTTCCCCTCTGCTTGGTGGCTGTCACCTCCCTTTTAGGGCCAGGGCCAAGTCCAAGCTCGCTTCCTCCCCTCGGAGTGTGCACCCCCATGTATCTCCTCCACTGGGGACAGTGCTGGAACAGGAAGGGCTGGTGTGGGCATTCCGAGTGTGTAGGGGCATGGGCTACGGTGGTCCAGCAAGGGTCAGACATTCACACTGCTTCTGATGTTCTGCCTGTGTAAGTGCCAGTAATGGCTGCCCCCACCCTGCTCATATGCTGCTTCAGGTCTGAGCTGCTTCTGTGTCTCACAGCCGATCTTCCAAGCGGGGCTGGGGTGTTTGCTTAGCTCAAGCCAGGGTGTGCACTGGGGCGGTCACAGAAAACCAACCAGTCACTTGTACAGTCTTCAATCCACCCCCTCCACCCTGCCTCAGGAGCAAGAAAGCATGTGCACATTCCTCAAGAGCAGAGTCCAGGCTTCCCACAGCCCTCCTGTTAGTCTCACAGCCCTCCAACCAGCCAAGAGGGCTTGTCTTCCCTCTGCTGGACCCCAGGACTGGGCTGTCCAATATGTGGCTCAGACCACTCATTCCCCAAGGAGGCTCTCCATCCATGTAATCTCCCTTTTCCTCTGAGTCTCCTCCCAGGGCCACAGGTCCCAACTTCATCACTTCTCTTTCCTTCCCACTCAATATCGTGTGTTATCTTTCTTACTGCACAGGAGTCTTTCTGCCAGTCTCCAGTTAGTTTTCAGTGAGAACTGTTCCACATGTAGATGATTTTTGATGTGTTTGCGGGGGAAGGTGAGCTCTGCATCCTCTACTCCACCATCTTGATCTCCTCCTCTCTGAGAGAAAGTTTTATAACCTTTATTATCTGGCCCAAGTTCACAACAATGTCAGCTTTCTTGGAGGGCTAGAGAGCCAGATAGAGGCTTTGCAGCTAGAAAGAGTGCCCAAATCACATTCTGAAGGCTGCCCTAGGAGGTTCTAGGTATTTCTGTGGTAAGAATCTTTGCCACAAGCCTCTGATTTTTCATTTGGGCCCTAACTCTGTAGTATATATGTGCATTTCTTAAATCTTATCAACACTTCCATGCAACCCTCTCATGCATTTTCAAAATTAAGAAAAAATTACCAATAAGACTTCTATAATCTCTTAACCTCGAATTTCTCTTCTCTTGTTCCTCGCTGACAGATTTCCACTGTAGTTTCATTCTGAAGTATTCATCACTGTAGAAAACAATTTTATACCAAAAAAGGTTATTTGAACACCTAAAAAACAAATTTAATGTATCAAAGCATTTATGGTGCTAGTGAGATGTAAATTTATAAATATGATAGTGAAATGTTTAAAGTTACAATCAAAGGAAAAATAAAATAACTTTATACATGTCATAAACTTTATTTAAACTACTAGAATAATTTAGATATGATTTTAAGGAAACATTTACTTCAGTCCTTAATATCAGAACTAAAATTATTCCAGTCATTAAATACTTTAGCCACTAAAGTTTCCAAATAATTACAAACCTATGAGATTTTTTTTTTTTTTTTAATGTGACATGAGAGTACCATTTTCCAACCAGTTTACTACAGAAACTTGTTGATGTGAAAATGTCTTAGAAGGACTGGCAAACATATTGAAAAGAGAAAGGACTGTCTGAATTTGAATATACACATAATAATTGAAAGTGAGCTTTAAATAAAAGGTTAGACTGACAAACTGGGAATAAGTATACCTGGGAAGTTGGTCTGTGTTTCTTTTCAAGTCTGATAATTACTTAAAAATAGAAACGCAATTCCAAAAAAAAAGGCCAGTTTATGTTATAAGAGCACCAGGAAAATAATTTAAAGGTAATTAACCTAAATAGCAAATACAATTATGAGCCATTTTTATAATTTCATAATAAATTGTAAAAATGAATCAAGATAAATGAGATATATTTTAAAATCTATATCTTAGTATGCTTAAAATGTTTATACAAGGGGACTAGAATTTTTTTTACCATCATTCTATATATTCACTAATGTAACTGCAATGAAGTCCCTTTAATAAGTGTTTCTGGTTTGAAATTATCTATAGTGCTCACAATATTTAAATTAAAAAGATGAAAATAAAAATATGTTCCCTTACCCTAGTCTATTCCATTTTATATGGATGAGTTACTTGGATTTCTTTAATGAGCACACAAAAGACCATTACTTACGTTTTTTGTTTTTGTAATTGAGTTCTTTCCTCTTTGGTACTGTCCCAAGGAAAATAACCCAGAAGAAATTTCCATGCTTGTTTTCTCAACACATGACTAAGTCCCTGAAGAAAACATGCATATTAAACACATTTGTAAAAAATGAATGCAATACTTTAAGTTCACAAAACTTGCACATAAACAGAAAAACTACTATTTAAGAGATAGTTTTATATAGGCATACGTCATTTTATTGCACTTTGCTCTACTACACTTCTCAGGTATTGCATGTTTTATTAAATTGAAGGTTTGTGACAACCCTGTGCCAAACAAGTCTACCAGTGACATTTTTATAACAGCGTTTGCTCACTTCATGTCTCCATGTCACAGTTTGGTAATTCTCGCAATATTTCAAACTTTTTCTTTACTATTGTATTTGATATGGTGATCTGTGATCAGTGATCTTTGATGTTACTGTTATTATTTTTTTTGTTTTGTATTTTTTTAATTAAAATACATATGCTGTTTTCTTAGACATGACGCTATTGCACACTTAATCGACTTAATACAGTATAGTGCAAACATAATTTTCATATGCACTGGGAAATCAAAAAATGTGAGTGACTCGCTTATTTGCAATATTCACTTTACTGCAGTAGTCTGTAACCGAACCCACAATACCTCCGAGGTATGCCTGTACATAAAAATAACTCAATTCAGTAAAAACTACCTTGTTTTTGACTTCCAGATTCTGAAGATGTAAGCAGCTGCCAGAAAGCGTAAACAATGAAGAGTAGACTGTATAGCAGACAGTGGAACTGATTAGTCTTTCTAAACCCAATCCTTACTAGACAAGGGAACTACCACTGAGGAACACAAATGCCTCCTTCACGTAACCCACAGAACTTCAAGTAAGAAAGAATACCTTTCCATAGGCTTAATGGTATATCCCTCCAACCCAACCCTCAGGGACATCACAAACACCTCACTCTGTCCTACACGGATTTTAAGGCAACACTCATCAAAAAGGAGTTCATCTCTCCCACCTCCCAAAAGAAAATGAAAACTTGAACACCAACAGTTTAAAAATACTAAAGTAATTACCCCTCTAAATATCATCTGCTTCATATTATCTACATTTAAAATTCTTCCTTCAGAATCAATATTCTTAGTCCATTCTTCCAATGATACTGGCTCTCTCCTTTGAACAACAGGTCGTTCGCCCAAATCAATCTAAAACAAAAAGATAAGCAATAAAGAGTACACCTTTAACAAGTGAAGTGAAATCAAGGTATATAGAAACTAAAACTAAAATACTATTACTCAGACATAAGTTCTAACATTTCTAATATTTTCCCTTAGTTTCCAATGTTTAGTTTATAAACTGCAATAGCATTCCATACATTTTACCCTCCTACTAAATACACAAATAACTGGGTTATAAATTCAGAAACAAAAAAACATTTGTTGTTTTGGGTTTCAATTACATAAGTACAGAACATTCAACACGTAAATTCTAAAACAGACCCTTCACACTAAATGGTATGCTATATTATTAAAAAAGAGTATTATTCCATTAATCATATTTAAAATTAGCTTTTCTTCCAATCTAAAATTTGTAGCTCTCAGAATTGATTCATGATCCATTAGCTCTACTTGGCATTTTCTACAGGTTTTCATTCAATTAACAGATGTTGGTAATTTTAAAATGCCATTTGCAAGATAAGCCCTTTAATTAAGTACTACAATTGAGATATTTTATAATGTTCTAACTATGTGCAGCCTAGAATTGTAGCAAATTCAAGTCTTGTTGAGCATATATAAAGATTTACCATAATTCAAGGCCAAAATCCATCTTACTTAAAAAAGAAAAGATTCACATAAGAATAAAAGCCCACGAGTAGTGTCCTGACTAGCTGCCTGTGCAGAGTGTCTGAGAAAACAAAAATTACGAAGAACAGAACTAGGGGCAACATGCAAGGCTTACTATTTACTCACTGCTATACACTCAATGAAACAAAAACCTGTTCATTATTATCAAAAGGTAATCAAAGAAAGAGATCCAACACTGATGAACAGAGAAGTATAAGTAGTAGTTGATGAAGAAACCAGGAATTTGGTGGCAGGACAAGCATTAGTCGTTAGATATATGAGTGAGCAAAAGTTATAAAGGATTGTGAGAAGAGGCAGGTATGACCAAAATTGAGTTTCTATTTCTATAACATTCAGTACACTTTAAAAAGCATTTCTCCTGCTAAAATACAAGAGCTATATTAATATAAACTCCACTCACTCTTGTGATGACTTCAAATCCTGGTTCTTCTTGCTGATTTATCTTTAAACCTGGAATAGCATCACTAAGAAAATCTGCCATCTCTGAAGGTGGTCGTTGATGTGCAGAAGGATCGCTGCCTCTTAAACTATCAAAAATGTAGTTTGTGACTTTGGAAAATCCTACCATAGTGGCTGTATAAGGGTCCTTTTTAATCTTCTATGCAGTAGAAAGAAAAATATTGGCAAAATTAATTCAGATAAAGAATAAAAATACCTCATGACAGGCAAAAGGGCAAAGGTTTTTAAAGGGGGGAAATCAGAACTAAAACAGAGCATTCTAAGATTATTTTAAAATTTTATTTTTTTCTGGGAAGAAAAATTTAAATTTTCTAAGCCAATTTTTTCATTTGGTTAAAATAGTACATTAAATAGCAAGCTAATGCTACTGATTGAATTGCAGATAAACACATGATTTGCAGGCTTCATTCAATCTGCACACACCAGAAATATCTGCAGTGCTTACTTTCCACTGATGGACGGCCCACAACAGCTTTCTTCTCTCTAACAGTCCTGCCTTCACAGAAAAAAATATTTCTTGAAGTGGGTAGTACCACACTAGTCTAACACAAAATATTTGATAGCTAAGTTTAAACGCTCACAATATTTAAATATTAGCTGACATTTTAATCTAATTATGTAACTGGTGAATCATGCCAACAAGAGTAATTTGTTCTGGACAGTGCTGTCCTAGAAAAGTTTTTCTACTGCTAGAGTTACTTCTAAATCCCAAACTGCCTGCTTATTCATATTTAGCAAAAATAGTTACTTCTTAAAGGTCTATCTTTAAAATGATTATTTTCACAATAAGAAAAACAGTTCCCTCACTTTTTATTTTAATCAGTATTTAGCTCTTTTGTCCTCCCTCCTAAAAAGTTCCCTCTTTATCTTCAGAACCAAAAAGAGATACCATGTGGGACAAAGAAGCACTCAAACATTTGTTGAATGAATAAGTGAATGAGTAAACAAAAATGTCATTAGTTTACATAGCAACCTGAGTGAAAAATAAATTATCTTTATTTCTGCCTGTGTTAAGGGCACATTTTTAGCCAAATGCAAGAATATACTCAAATACTTTAAGAGGAATTAGACTAAACTGACCCCAAATGAACCAACTTAAACATCAAATAAAAATTCAAACCAGATTTTTGCATAAGCTTATCACTGATTAATTCGAAGTGTCTTACCCAGTGACTTTTCACCTAATCAGTGCAAGCTATGATAATAAAAATCTGATGTCCAACTTCAATTATGATAAAGGGGAAAATTGCTGTAAGAGTAATTAAGAACCAAGGAAGCTTCTGAGTCTTACAAACAATATGACACATATTATTCTTTCTATAAAATTACAGAGAATAGTTCCATAAGGTTTACACATGCAGACACTTGCCTCATTCTGTATAATCTCTGAGAAAGTGAGAGGTAGGATGCATATAAAATAATGCGGTCAGACAAACAGATTAATATAAGATAGACTAAGGAAACATACTTGTATTATACCATATGCTGGTTCATCAAGAAGATTTTCAAAAGACTGTGAAAGACTCTTATTCTGACAATTCACAAGAAGTGTTCTTTTGTCTTGCGGAGATCTGTGATAGAAAGAAGGGATTTGTAGAAAACAGTAGCACTCCGCATCAATGACTACCTAAATAATTACTAATGCACAGTTATTTTTCCGTAACAACAACAACAAAAAACCTTAAATGTCCAGTTCTAAAAGTGTTTCCCATTAATTCAATATTAGCAAGTACTTAGTAACTATCTTAAGTGAGTTCCAAAACTACATGAAACATTAAATATTAAATTAACAAATATAAAAGGGATAAAGTATATTTTTATTCTAGGTAAAGCCAAGAGGACTAAATTATAATGAACCCAAACTTTTGTTTAGAATTATAGTAGAAAATTCTTACAAATATATCTTCCATTATAAGAATATATCTTCTCTTATAAAGAAAGTTGAAACACATTTTAGGATTCATCAGTATATATAATATGTACACTACAGGAAAATGTCCTATTTTGAAATGGTTTCCAACTTCACTCCACAGCTTGGTCGTACTGCAATATAAGATGTTAAAAATACAAGATACAATGTCTTAATTATTTGTTAAAGATCATTAATTATGCCAACCATTATTATAAACACACATGGTTGTAATGTACAGTTCAGGTACAGTATATTTTTAGTTCTTGCTTATTGAGCTCCGGATATGTTTTTCTCCACACTTCCTAATAACTACAGAATAAACAAAATGCTTTCCAAATAGACATCTAATTTGAAGTAATCAAATGAATTATCCAGTCTTTTTTCTGTTCAAAAAGTTTTATAATTTAGTAAGTCAGCTGTAATAAATCCACAACTTTTGTGTTTAAAAACAAAAATTAAATGCATTATTTTGCTGCTATCTACTTCTAGTTTATTATAAATGTTTGAGATAAGAACTTTAATAACAGTTATCTCTTCTCAATTCTAACATAACAGGATGCAACAGCAATGCTGGGGGGATATGAAATCCAAAACAGGATCTTATTCTTACTTAGAAACAGCACTCGATCATCAAAGACAATAGTAGTTGAATAAGCCCCTTAGCTTCTTAAAAGAGCTAAGGTTGAGTCATTTGAAGTAGGAAGAAAATAACTTTTTAAACGTTCAATTTTCATTAATCACCATTTTTCTGAACATCTTCTGGGGGTCATGCTTATTAACATGAAGACCTATAGGTTCTCACAAGGCATTTTTTAATGATAGGTCAACTTGTAAACATAGCACCAGAAAAAGAAAAGTAACTAGTATAGAAACATATTTTTTTCCTAACACAGTGCTGCTGGTACTATGGTTATTATTTTTTGTTTCTAAAAATAGATTAAGTCAAATTTTTTCTTTAAACTACAAATAAAAAAATGATCATAAAAGTCAAAACACTGGCTATGCATGCTGAAGGGGGACACATACGCAACCTTCAGTTATCTGTGCCCAGCCAATTATTATGGCTTCAGATCTAAAACTATGGTCACAAAGCTGGAGATGGGAAGAAGAAATGACTGCTCAACCAACAAAGAACCACAGATACTTTTTTACAAAGGAAGGATTTCTTTTTTTTATACCTAATGCTCTGTGATGAGGGGCTGGGGGAAGTCACATTAGACTCGGTTGACACTGAAGAAATCAACAAAACATTCTTTAAAGTATATCAGTAAGAGAACAGGTAATAATGTTGCTAAGAACTTCAGAGCTCACCAAAAGGAGGGCTGGCATTCCAGAATATTGTTACATTTCCACCTGCCAGGTTACCACACTGATTTAATCTGGGAAGATTAAATATTATATTTATATATTCTGGGGACATTATGGATTCTGGGAAGTTGATCACTCATGACAACATTATTCAAGGCTTTCAAAAACTCATTGCAGCAGTAAGATAGAACTTTTAATGATGCTAACATCAGCAATTCTATTACATCCTACTAAAGGGCTTAAAGAAAACCATTGTCTAATATCACAACTACAGACGCATTACTACTAAAACTTCAGAAGTACTTTGGAGTGAGCCTCTCCCAAAAGCTTCAGAATTCAGAAATTATAACAGTTGAAGAATTTTTGTGCACTGAGATGTAATAGTAACTATTTTATATTGCCACCGAGAAGACCAATATGGAAAGCTAAAGAAATAAAAATATCATTGCAAAAGATATAAAGCCAAAAAGGTTAATAAAAAAAAAGTACAAAATATTTACAACAAAACTATATAGTTTATTCTCATCCATATAATTTATACATATATATGTGTGTGTATGTGTATGTATATATGTATGTGTGTGTGGATATATGTATCTCACAAAGGGAATAAATGAGGGTCTAGGACCTAATCTCATAAATGACTGGTGCTATAAGATGATACAACCAACTTGGCTTTTTAAGGAAATATTTTACTGCTTGGATATTTATGTATTAGTTTTAAAAATGGCCCAATATATAAAATCATTTTAACAGAACCAACCAATAACTTTCATTCATATCCTAGCAACCAACTTGGTTCCAGAAATGTAACAAAAATGTATCTGTGGCTCATTCTTTTACCCAGCTGAATACCATGTTCTAAATAGTGATAAGTCAACACTAAAGAATATCAATGAATAGGACAATTTGTTTATCCCAGTAGATAAGAAAACCATTTGAGAAATAATAAGGCTCAAGAAGCTGGCCTATTTTGCACTGACTAATCCAGTTAATGAGACTGAAAGAAGGAACTGTGCATAGTTACCCAACCTTTACCTCGATCTTTCAAGGCTGCACATCCCTAGCAAATCTGCAATTTCTGTTTGTCTGTATGGTAAGACCCTTAATTCGTTACAGGGAGTGTTAGGAAGACATCATGGCCACAGGTGCAAGCCACATTCTTCAATTTAGGTTAATCAGAGAAAAAAAGATAATGTGGTCTGAATCTCCCTCTATTGATGTTTTGAACTCAGAAAACACAGGAAGGATGACCCAGGAACAGAGTGGCTGGGATCCCAGCGAAGCTGCTGACACCAAGGTTTTCCTGGTCTACCCTTCTTCTTCCGGTCTCCACAACAATCTGCGACCATAGGAACATGACTCTGGAAGTACCATTTTGCTTAGGATAACTGCTCCAGAGACAGGAAATGATACCTAATAAAGTAAAAAATGGGGGATATTTGGGACTTTTCATTTCTTTGGACTTAATTGTGAATTCCATTTATTTAGATCATAAGTAATGAACATAAAAAACAAGAACCTTTAACATCTCCCTAAGAATCTGATAATGGAAGATGGTTTATACAAATATGGGATTTATTTTTATACTGGTGACTGTTTATCTGGAATATCTATATTCTACCACCTGGACTCAGCACATATGACACAATGCAGTTGGGCATAATTTATGATGGGAAAGAGAATGGGGGGGGTGCTTATTTTCTGCCTAGTGTACAAAGGGGCCTTCAATTGGGGATAAAATATTTGATGTACTATTCTTACACATTTCAGACTATTCAGGGGGCAAAGAATAAACTGGCCCCTCAGTGTCACAGGAGAATACACAATGGAGAAGTGGCTGGTACTAAGGATGAAGCTTTTAAAGCTCACTTTACACAGCTATCTCCTCTCCCAGAAACAGCCACATCCTTGGTTGACCATAAATGTGATTAAGCCTAGTGGGAAGAGAGGAAACAGAGTGTAGGAAGTCAGACTCCTCTGCTAGGTTCTTCTCTTTGACCACGTCATTAAAGGCTATAATTAATCACATGCTTACATTCTATCCCATTTTATCCTCTTCTTAATCTCATTCTCTCTCAGAGCTTCAATTACTACTAACACACACACACACACACACACACAAACCTACATATTATCCTATTATATGCTCTCATCGTGCTATATTCCTGATTCATAGTACTTATTACAGCTGAAAACTTATGATTATTTGTATAAGCGATCTTTTTCTTTTCTGCAATAGTACAAACTCCATGAAGACAGACACCATATCTTTTTGACTAAGTGCTCCTTTCCAGCACTTAGTATGATGTCTAGAACATAGTAGGTCCTCAAAAAAAAAATACTTGTTGAATGAAAAAGTAGAGAGAGGGGAACACCATTCCCATGGCTTCTTGTTTCCAGGTGGAAATATGCACTCCTATTAAATAAAATCTTCACAGGGACACATCTGACTGCTGAGATCAGGAAAGAGTAAGGTGCATGCATGGCATAACCCCTTCCAGGCTCTCTTTATCTCTTGGATCTGCCTGCCAACAGAGAAGGTGGTTTCTAGTCTGCTCTCATTCATGTCATAAGTGGTCTGCCCTCACTAGGGAGACCTGTGGTTGTCCAAAAATGATAACTGGATGACTGCAACATTAATTTGGGCTGAATTATTATGATGCTACATATCTAAGCCTAACCAATACAGAAAAGGAAACATAGTTTCACTAACAAACGTCATTAAAACATCACCAACACATATTTAAGGTACATATTCTCTTATAAGCACCTAAGTAATTGTTGAGTCTATCCTTGAACCCATCCAGGACAGAAAACTCTCTACCTCATGAGCTAATTCCTTGTAATTTCTACCCCTCGAGCTATTTCCTTCTAGTTTATCTCTGGAGTCATACAAAACAAATCTAGTCTATTTCTTTTAACAATCCTTTTGAAATTATTTGTAAAACTGGTAAGTATCATGCCATTTATTCATTCAACTAAGATTTACTGAACAAATGGGCCAGGCACTCTGGCTAGGAATTTAGGAGAAAGTGTAAACAAGATAGATACAATCCCTGCCTTTATGGGCTTATATTCTAGAGGAAAACGTAACAGAAATAAACAGACAATGATTTTATTCTGTTAAGGGCCATGAAGGAAGCAAACAAGAGAATGAGAAAGCAAAAAGGAATGGGGGTGGGAACCTACATTAAATGGGAGACTAAGCATCCAGAAAAGCCCTTCTGAGGAAGTGACATTAAACTGAGACCTCAGGGATAAGAAAGGGAGAAGAATATTCTAGACAAAAGAAATACATATAGGACCCTAAGACAAGAAAGAGTTTAGGGCATTTCAGGAACTGAAAGAAAACCATGTGGCTAGAATATAGAAGAGAATGGCATGAGATGAGGTTGAAGAAATAAACAGAGCTAAGATAGGGCAGGCCCTCACTGACCATAGTAAGAAGCTTGGGTGTTTTTTTTGTTTTGTTTTGTTTTTTTGCGGTAGGCGGGCCTCTCACTGCTGTGACCTCTCCCGTTGCAGACGGAGCACAGGCTCTGGACAGACGGAGCACAGGCTCTGGACGCGCAGGCTCAGCGGCCATGGCCCACGGACCCAGCCACTCCGCGGCATGTGGGATACTCCCGGACCGGGGCACGAACCCGTGTCCCCCGCATTGGCAGGCGGACTCTCAACCACTGCGCCACCAGGGAAGCCCAGCTTGGGTTTTATTTAATGGTTCACCACAACTCCTTCAAGTTAAATCGCCACATCCCCACATTTTTCATGATACCTTTTGATCCCTCTCATTACACTAGCCATCTTTTTCCACGTAGTATAGTTAGTATAACACATCTAAAATCTAAAATGCAGTGTTTAAAACTAAGTGTTTAAAACTAAGAGTTCTCCAAAATATGATCTTATCAGTACAGAGTAGAGAGGGACTACCACTTCATTCTAGATACTATGCTTTAATCAACAGTCTCAGAATGAATGAGCTCTTCTGTAACAGTTACATCACAACACTGATTGATACTGAGCTTGCTATGATGCTAAGACCCCCAAGTCTTTAACAGCTGCTATTCAACAGCCAAGCCTTATGCCCCAGTCATGATAAATGCTCCTCCTGAAATCTACTTAACCCCGTAGGTGGTAGCCTATTCACAGCTTCTCACTTCAAGATCCAAGACCCACATACTACCAACCAGATCTGACTTTATGATTACAGGTACTAATCAGCATGCCTAGTGCCAGCCAGAGGTGGTCAACATGGTAAAGGAAGAGAATTTCATGCCGAAAAACATAGAGTCAATATCTTTCAACTTTTGCATTATTCCTAGCTTTATATAATCTACATTTAGGCATGACATTACTCTATTAAAGTGAGGACATTATTAATGAAGTTAACAATCATCCCTACGATTCCCCAAACTAAAAATCTCAACTTCTCCCTTCTTTTCTCCTCCACATATCCAATCAACCACAAACTCTAACACTAAATATTCCTCCAACACTTCTTTCTTGTCACTCCCCTAGTTCACGCTACTACAAGCTCACTAGATGACTGGAACAACCTCCTAACATGATTTACAAGACCCTTCATGCTCTGGCCTTAACTCAGCTCTTTGGCTTCATCTTTAAATCTTGTACCCTCCCTTCCCCCACTATGCAGACCTGTGATACTGAACTACTCTGTTCTGTGATTACGTAGTGTTTTACATACCTCCCTCTATCTAAAACATCTCTCCGTCTAAATATCTCCTTCCCTTTCATGCTAACGTTCACACAGTTGTCAAGTCTCAACCTAGATGTTACCTCCTCCAGAAAGTCTTCCCTGACCCCTACCCAACCCCCAGTCTGAATGAAGTATACTTCCTCCCTTCCTTGTACTTCCTCCATCTTATTTCTTGAGTTTATTGCTATTTACTGGTCAGCATCCTTCACAAGACCATAAACTCTCAGATATCCGAGAACATGCCTGTTTTGTTCACTACTAAGTATCAAACAACCAGCACAGTGCTCAGAACTAAATAGATACCACAATTGTATTTGCTGAGAGTGAAAGCGAGAAAGAGTATGTGTGTACAAATGCACAGGGTAAATAAATGGAAGACACAAGATTTCTGGAAAGTGAGAAAGCCCTAACTTCCACACTTACAATAATTTTATTTAGATTTGTGTGACTTAAATTTGTAGCATTACAAATGAAACTCTATGTTTAACAGAAACTACATAATAAAAGATAAAACTGGTAAATATATAATCTATAAATTATTGATGTATCATCATTCATTTGAATGTGTATTAAAATACTGAACCATTCTTTTCTTTAAAACACTAATAAGGTGATAAGTTGCAGTTCCAAATTACTAAAATGGCAAAATTTTATTCAGTCACTCATCCAAAGTAGTCAATATTCCAGAAAAAACAAACCTGCTTGAGCCCTAATATGCACATAAGTCACTGATACCCAATGACAAGTAAAAACAGTTCGCCTTGGGACCATCACAACAATCCGGTTTTGATAAGTAGGAAATAATTTGATACTTACTCACACAATACCACATATTTTTCAAGAGAGTCAATCAGTAGTTTGCTATCTCCTTGATGAAAGTGCAGAGCAGGGAGAACGACGTCATCCTTTAGACAGAATACCAAATACGACCAGCCCATACCCTCTTTGTTTTGCTTGATTGATTTCAGGTCTGTCAAACTGAACAGGAATGACCATTTGCTTTTCCCATTTCTATGACTTGGAGCATCTTAAAAACAAGAAAGTGGGGCAAAATATTTTTGTTCACCTTTTTAAAAGGTACTGACAGCACTCTTCATGACTGCCTAACAGATATTTGTTGAACCTAGGGAACAACTACAGCACTGATATTACCATGGCTTCCACCTGTATTAGAAATGGCTACATACATTTTCTTAAAAGAATAGTTTTTAAAATAATTATCTTACTGTATACAAATTGAAAAAAATACTACCCTTATTTAAAATATCAGCTTTGCCCCAAAATGATCATGGCTTTGGAAGCAAGCAGGCCAGACTCAAACTGCAGCACCACCATACTAACTGAATGATTTGGGGCAAATAATTGAATCTCTCTGAGCCTCAGTTTCTTCATCTGTAAAATGGAGATAATTATACTTACCTCCCAATGTTATCCTAAGAATTAAAAGAGATAATACTTGTCAACTAATGAGTACAGTGCCAAGTATATAGTAAATATTCAATAAATATTCACCTTTTCCAATTCCCTCAAATACAAATGGCATGATGCATTTGGAGAGGCATTTAAAACAAAACAAAAAAAACAAAAACAAAACCAACCTTTATTCCTCACTTCCTTTTGGAATTATTTTTACTAGATTACATTGAGTGAAGGTAAAAGTATACCAGTATAAAAAGTAAGGGGGGAAAGTGGGGGTGCGTGGGATGAACTGGGAGATTGGGATTGACATATATGCACTATTGATACTATGTATAAAATAGATAACTAATGAGAACCTACTGTATAGCTCAGGGAACTCTACTCAGTGCTCTGTGGTGAACTAAATGGAAAAGAAATCCAAAAAACAAGAGGACATAATGTATATGTATAGCCGATTCACTTTGCTGTACAGTAGAAACTAACACAACACTGTAAAGCAACTATACTCCAATAAAAATTAATTTTAAAAAAAAGTAACATTAGAGTGAGTACACAGACAGACATTTGCAAAAACCCAAAGAACAGTGGGGAATTGAGGATGAAAAGGTAACTAAGTTGTGAATGCTTCAAAGAGAATAAATACATTCAATCTTCCTGCTAAATCAACCTTCTACTAAATTAAGACCTCAGTTCAAACCAAACTATAGCTATGTAAAATAAAGCATTTCCTAGTGTGTGGGGGCTGTTTACAGAAGCTTAAAATCCTAGGTTTGTGAATAACATTGCAATTGATAACAAGCAATGTAAAGATTATCTATTTAAATAAAAATTTAAAGAACAAGGGAAAAAAGTTATCTAATACTTATATTTAATTTCTAATCTAAAAATGTTATTTTACTTGAACATTTTAACGCAGACTTAAGCATGTCATGTCTCTGAAATTTTAAAAGACCTTTTCTCTTATGTTATTTGCTAAGAAGTGTCATACTATCCTGTTATTGAAAATCTTTATTAATTCCATCCCAACACTATCAATTCCACAAAGATAAACTGTATAGATTATATCTGCTTATAGAACTTACTCAAAGGGTAGATCAGTCAGTACTGACCTGCATGTATGTCACCTTCCTATATAGTCAGAACACTACAGCTTCATCACCTCCAACAAAATCTCCTAAACTGACACAGAAACCTACAGCTTACAGAAACCTCTACCTGGCAAGGAATGCAGACACCATTACTCTTTCATGGACACTAGCAAGTTATCATTTGAATCAAAGTCCAGAAAGGCTAAGTAACTTATCTATGCAGTGCCCTGCCTACTTCCACACCAGTTCAGATGGTGAACTCATATCTAAGGCTGATACCAGATTAAGTACCACGTGCTCACTTTACGACACATCATGTTTCACTGCAATTTGTATTATAGAGCTCATAACACCATCACAAACTAATATGAAAGTGAGAACAATTCTAGAATTCCAACATTTTATGAATCACTTAAGTGTGAATGCACCTGGACTACGTCGACGTAGAAAGGATACATACTACTAGATTATCTGCAAAGACCAAAAATATTTTCACAGCAAAACCAGATACCATTTTTTATCTTAAATTCCACAAAAAGTATTTAATAAAAGTCATGCAAGAAAATCATATGAAGAATATTAAATAATATATGCAGGCATATCAGAAGTTTGTGCATATTCAAATGTAAAAATTTTACACAGATTTTTCCCTTGTTAATGGAAGAGACACACATTACATATTAAATACAAAAGAAAATTCCTCACACATTTCCTCACTTAAAGCTCTGATAAACAATGAGACAAACATTACAAGTCAATCCCAGAAGTCCCTTTTCTAGAGTATAAGCTTCATGAGAGCAAGAACTTAATTCTGTTCACAGCTTTATCCCCAGTGCCTAGAAGAGTGACTAGCAGATAGTAGGTAGTCAAAGATGTGTTAAATAAATGAATAATCTACTAACCAAGTCAACAGAAAAGTAATCTGCAATTTGGTCTACCAATAATATCTAACCAGAATTAGAAGTTGTTACAAAGGAAAACTAACAGAATCCAACAGTTAACTCAAAATTTCCTTCTTTCTCCTTAAACAAAGGTAAATAAAGCTAATTAGTTCTGATGAACTTACTGTGTTACCCAATATATGTAAAAAATAACTCCAACACACTGACGTGGGAAAAATGGCCATAACAGCAAAAAAGTAAACAAAACAATTCAGTAAGTCTCCATATGTCTTGAACAGAATTAACAGCAAGGACGTGACATTTTATCTGAATGGGTTTCCAGAACATCACGGCAGTCTGCTGTTCTGGGAAGATATATTTTCAAAACATTTGATCTAATATATAAAAACAAAGACTTAGCAGTATATTTAAGAAATATAAAGTTTAAAAAGTCTTCAATAGTCAATTTTTTTTAAAGGTTTGTCCCCATTTTGCTCTGTGAATCACAAAAAAGGTAAAAAGTGTGAAGTTTATAATAATAAAAATTTTATTTGAAAAAATGCTTTTCAAAAGTGTAAAAAATTATGGCAGAAATTTAAATTCTGAAACATCAAGATTAGAAAATGTCTTCTTTAAGAAGGAGTTTTGATGAAATATGATTGGATGAGGTAGACAGTCTAGGATAAGATGGGATGGAATGGGATGAGATGAAACAGAGTAAATGTACTTCATTAACTCCTTGTTCTGTTAAATATGTGCATGTGTATGCACACTGGGCCATACTGTGCAATGTGTTTTTTTCTGCTATCATAAAACTTTTTAAACAGTGGAGAAAAGAAAGAAAAAGAAATGTGTCCTTAACTTTTAATAATTACTAAATAAAGGCTCCTTACAAGGCATAATGCAATGCCAAGATACATAAGCAGTATTTAGATCTGTGGGTTTTTTGCTAAGCTACACAGCTACACAGAGGTTCTCAACTCTGCACACTAAAATAACCAGGAGGGCTTTTGAAAAATACAGAAAAATAGGGATGCCCAGGCTCCATCTCCAGAGTATGATTTAATTTGCTGGATGAAACCCAGGCACTGGTACTTTTTTCAAAAGCCTAACTTCCCCATGTGATTTCAATGTGCAGCCAGTTAAAAAACCATTAATCTAAAAAGACTTTTATTGTCAGATTATGCTTTTCTCAAACATGTAATGCTTCTTTTATGAAATTTTGAAAACTCACTCCTTTTGCTCATTTCTGTAACCTTTTTCATTTTCAAGGATTTAACAATATTAGGCAAACAAAAAATAGCAATTCACATAAACCAATCCTGAAGATCCAGTCTAGAGAAGTTAAAAATCCCTCACATGTTAAATATACTAAAATCCTGTGGTTTTATCCTTCCTTAACATTTCTGCATTGTTCTGGTTAAGAACCTTCCCTAGAATGGGAATGCAAAACAACAAAAAAAAAGACACATATGCATGAGCTGGCTGTTATCGAAAGTCTGTGACTTACTATTTCTTAATTGCCACTGTTCCCAAGAAATGATACAGTACAAAGTATAACTACTGTATGAGAACGATTCCCCAGGCCATACATGAAAATCAATTTTACTTAGTAACAATGCTATATAAACGTAGCAATACATATTCTAGTCAATTTAGGCTAGACTTTTTGAATCTGGTAAATGCGGATAAATCCTAAACTGAGATCAAAATCACTGAAAGATAAAATATCCTATTAGTTATAATACACAAAGAAATCAATAGAAAAAAATTTTAACTCTATACAGTGTTTAATATTTTTTAAAGAGATCACAAATAGGCGGGCCACATCACAGGTGGGCTAGCTAGATCATATCTGGGGTAGTATACATGTTCTATCAGATTGCTAGGTTGGCTCTTTTCTGTTATCTACATGTAGGTAGTCACCACACAGCAAACATAAATTTAATGTATATATAAAGGAGAACAGATGCGGAACATATACAAAGGGGAGTTGCAATGAGCTGTGAAGATACCAGTAAACACTGAAATTAGAACGGCATGGTTTAGTGGTATACTTCATCTCCCCCTGGTGCTTTAGAATGAAATAACATGATTTTTTTTTTTTATTCTACTGGATTAAGAAAAATGTGCATGAGAGATAGCCAAAGCAATTTTTTAAGTGTTTCTATTTTCTGCCATTAATAACTACAAAACAGAACAAATATTTTTAAAGCCTTTTTATGCGGTCACAACCAACAAAGCAACAAAAAGATGAAAAAGGAATATAAATAAAATGGGAATTATACATATTAATCAAAGCACCAACTCATCCTTCTTCTAAGAAACATTAAAGGATTTTCTTTGCACTTTTGTTTATATTATATAGTAGCAAATCAGTTTAAGATTTCAAACGATTTAATTCATACCTCCATTAGTATGTGGTTTCTTTTTAAATGAAATTGTATTAACCATGTCCCACTCTGCTTCGTAACTGTTCAGATGTTCCAGTCCTCGATGAGCTCTTTCTTTTGGGGCCTGGGTCCATTCCACGACTGAACTGGAGTCCTAAAATAATTATAACATATAAGATATTTAGGGACTAAGACTAGAATTTCATTTCAATCAATAACGTCTTCTCAGCTTCTATATAAATTAAGTTTGTAGGTTGTGGCAGATACCTCTGGTGGGAAAGCCAAACACTATTTCCTACCCTTTTCTCCCTGGCTCAGCTGACCAAAAAGACAAGAAAACCTTGTCCAGATTCTCCTGCAGTTAGGGTTGCCAATGAAATATAAGCATAAGTCAACAGTAGGGCCTTGGAAATGCTTTTGCTTTCCTAATAAAAGCTCCATCCCTTTTTCCCTATTTCCTGCTTTTGATGCAGCTATGCTGCCTAAAAACATAATAGCCACCTTATAATCATAAAGACAAACACTGCAAATAGCTCCAAACCTCCAGGCTTCTGGTTATTTGAGGAACATACCCAATGGTGGTTACTTATTTAAACCACCATTGGTTGCACATGTCTCTTAATCAAAATTAGCTAAAAGCTACAAATACCATATCTACATGTTCAGTTCTAAAGAACTTTCTATTTTAAAAGAGAATAAAACCAAAAGTCTAAAATGCTATGTTAATAATCTGACTAAATCAAAAAGTTTAACTTCTATTCAACAAAAGATACCACACATAAGTTAAAGATAAGCAAAACTGTGTGAAAATGTTTCCAAAACATATGGAAGATGACAGAAAAACATCCAGAATACAAAAACAACTCCTACCTATGTACTGAGAAATCAACAAACATCAAAAGAGAAAAATAAGGAAATGATATGAACAAGCAAATCAAAGAAGAAATATGAAGTGACAAACAAAGGAAGATGTCCACCTTCAGAAACAATCCAAGAATAGCAAGTAAAGATGAATTTAAATTTTTCTGGCCCATTCAATTAAAAAATAAAAATATGGAAGACAGTGTGAGGAAATGCTGTATCTCACACTGTTGATGACAGTGCTAATTAGTACTGACTCAAATGTATAATTGAGTCATATTTATTAAAATTCAAAATATGCATGTTTCACAATAACTCTCTTCTCATCTACTTTAGAGAAATACACATGTATACAAAGAGGCAGATACAAGAATTTTCATCACAGAGTTGTTTGTAAAAGTGAAAATCTGAATATATCTTATCATCCATCAATGAAGGAATAAGTAAATAAACTAGCGGGTAGCCAATAAAATGCTAGGCAGAAGTTTAAAGACTGATATCTGTTCATGTGTATATATGTTCAATAATGTAAATAAAACGAAGTAAATAAAATGAAGTTAAGAAACAACGTATGCAGTATAACAACTACATGGAACATATGTAATTAGAAACACACTAGAGAAAACCAGGGATGAATGAATGAATGGATGGATGGATGGATGGATAGATAGATATGATAGGAAATGTGTACCAATAAAAGTCTGGAAAGATATACATTAAACAGGGACAGATTAGGGACAGGGTTCTAGTCAAGCAGGACTTCAACTTTCTATTATTTGAATTTTTTATAACAAGAATGTATTCGTGTATTGCTAGTGTGTAATTCTTTTTAAAAATGGAAAAAGGGGGCTTCCCTGGTGGCACAGTGGTTGAGAGTCCGCCTGCCGATGAGGGGATGCGGGCTCGTGCCCTGGTCCAGGAAGATCCCACATGCCATGGAGCGGCTGGTCCCGTGAGCCATGGCCACTGAGCCTGCGCGTCCGGAGCCTGTGCTCCGCAACGGGAGAGGCCACAACAGTGAGAAGTCCACGTACCGCAAAAAAAAAAAAAAAAAAGGAAAAAAGAAGATTTATAGGAACAGGAATATATTATAAACAAAAGGAATTAATAAGAAATAGAAACAGACTGAAGAATAGGGGGAAAAGCTGAATGAATGAAGTTATAAAGTGTAGTGTTTTTTCCTCCAAGTCCTTCCTCTGATGTCATTTTTCAGGGAGCCCTCCTCGTTTGCCCAATTTAAAAAAATGCAACCCTTACCACCATCACTACCAACTTTCCCATCAATAGTAGGGAAAGCGAAGCAGCGTTTACAGAACCCCACCCCACACAAAGGCTTGGAACTAGTAAATCAGGTACTTCTGGAAACTAGAATAAAGGTTAAGCTGAAAACAGGACTACTAACAAAAGTTGAGAAGACTGAAGGTTTATTCATTGTAAAAGGTAAAACAGATTATCTGTGGATTAGGAGAAACCAGGGACACTGAGCAAAGAGATAATACACTGAAAACAGGAGAATTAACTGAAAGTTCATCTATATAATAAGTTGGCAAGACTCCCAGCTCTCTTCCTCCACTCAGTTCCCACAACAGTGGAATCCAGCTTTCCCTCTCCAGGCAGGAATCTGTAGATTCTTCTCTGACAAATGACTAGCCCACAAAAGAAGACCCAGGTTTCAATATCGGGGATTCCCCAAGGAAAACAGCCTAGCCAAGTCACCCTGAGTCCCAACTATTAACAAACCTACCCATACATAGAGAGAGTATAATCAGTTTTTTGTGTTTGCTGTTAAATATGAGCACCACAATACAAAGATCACCAAATGTCAAAGGCAAGTGTTTACATAAAAGATAAAGTCCAAATGAAATACGAAAAAAAAAAAGTCAATTAGAGGAGGTGGACTATATATAGAGATGAAAACATCTAAAATACTATCCCTCAGAAATAAGGAAGAATAGTACATCCATGAAGAACAGTATACTATTTTTTAGAAGAGGGGAAAGGGGACACATAACAAAATGTATTAGAAATCTAAAAAACATCAAAAATGAAAAAGGCAATAGAAGAACTGGAAGATAAAACTGAAGAAATTTCCTAGAAAATAATACACACATACACAAAGAGTTAGAAAATAGTAAAGTATTAAAATATTACAGGACCAGTCCAAAGCATGTAGAGTTCCAGAAAGAAAGAAAATAGAAAATGGAGATGAAGAAGAAATCATCACTAAAATAATTCAAGAATATTTCCTAAAAACTAAAGGATACAAGTTTTCACGTTAAAAAAAAGCCTATCAAGCACCCAACACAGTGGATAAAAAAGACCACAAGGGCACAACATGTCCAGAACATCTACAACACTAGAAACAAAAAGGCAATTCTAAAAGCTTCTAAAGAGGAAAAAAACATAGCAAGGATCAGGAATTAGAATGCAGCAGACTTAACATCAATAAAGGAAATTAGTCAAACCTGAGACAATAACTTTCAAAACTACGAGGGGAAAATTATTTTCAAACTGTAATTCTATGCCAGCCAGCTATCAATTCAGAATAAGGATAGAAAAGTCTGAAAACAGAAATGTTTTTGCCCTCATACACCCTTTTTCTCAGGAAGCACTGGAGGTGCACCAAAACTAGGGAGTAAACCAAAATATAAGATAGCAGAGGATACAGGAAATGGGGATTAAAATATGGGAAAGAGGCAAAAAGAATCCCCAGGATAATTGCTGCACAGCAAGCCAAAAGAGCAACCAGTTCAGAAGGAACTTGTAAGAAGGCTCTGGAAGAAAAGTTTCTAAGAAGATGACATTGGAAGATCATCTATGTGATTAAATATTTTGAGAAGAAATGTGGACAACTGGGCCATAGTTTCAGGGTGAATTAGAGATAAGATAGAGCTAAATCTCTACCTTCCATAGTGAGATGTCAACACGAAACAAACATTAAACATAAGTTAATCCAACTATTCCATTCCTGGGTTTTCAAGGAAAAATGTATCCACACAGAAACTTGAGTAAGAACATTCACAGCAGCATTATTTACATAAGCCTAAAAATGAAAACAACCTAAATGTCCATCAACCGATGAACGAATAAACAAAATGTGGTACATATCCATAAATGCAATATTACTCAGAAAAAAAGAAAAAAAGGAAAGAAACAAAGTACTGACAGGTGCTACAACATGGATGAACCTTGAAAACATTATGCTAAGTGAAAGAAGCCAGTCACAAAAGACTACATATTATATGATTCCATAGATACAATGTCCACAACAGACAAATCCTCAGAGACAGACAGTAAATTAATGGGTGCAGAGGACTGGAGTTAGGTGGGAATGAGGGGTGACTGCTAAGAGGTACAGTTTCTTTTCTGGAAGTAATGGAAATGTTCAAAAGTTAGATATTGGTGATGGTTGCACAACTCTGTAAACATACTAAAAACACTGAATTATATACTTTAGAAGAGTGAATTTTATGGTATATGAATTATATCTCAATAAAGCTTTTATTTAAAAAAAAATGGCATTCCTTCAGTCATGCATTTTTTTCTTAAATACCTTTCCAGCATACAGAATACTAGAAGAATCTAATGCATCATCCAATGGTCTCCAGTCCACTATTACTTCAGCATCCTAGAGAAAGAAATTATTAACCATATTTACTATTCAGCAATATCCTATATTTTTAGTCACCTATACTTAATTCCCTGAGCTGAAAATGAGATTTTTAACCCCTTAAATTTATCAGCACGTTAAATATGGAATATCATATGTAAACCACTATTTGACAACAATGTATATAGATTTCTAAACTCTGCCTTTCATTATAAAAAAATTATATTACTGCAACTTTTACATAAGTTTTAAAATATTCCATACCATTTTACTGGCTTATCTAAAGCATTTTATTTCTAACATCACTTCCATGTTAAATTTACAACCATTGCTCAATTACATAATTTTATCTTACATGTGAAATTCAAGCCTGCTGATAATGCCCCAATTATTAATTATTAAATTATTTAAACAATTAAATTAAAATTATATTTTATTTAAACATAAACAATTATTAAATAAAGTCTTTTACTAGAAACATACCTTTTCTAAAACACGTAATATTCCTGAAATCAAGCTGTCTTGGTCACTGGTCTTTCCAAAAGATGAATGAATATACACCCCTTCCTGTTCATATATAATCTGGAATGGCAAAAATAAGATTAAATCACATCATTTTTATTCAATACTATTTCAACGTTTTAAAAAAACTTAAGAGATTTTTTCCTATAATGCCTGAACCAAGTTTCTGGTTATTTCATATAAAAATGTATTATCTTAAAAATACTACTCAGACTTAAAAGCACTTCAAACAAAGATAAACTAGAAGGAAATTTGCTTTGTTATGCATGCAAGTTTTTTGGTTTAGTGATAATCATGATCTTGATCTTCTCCTTAAACAAAGATGTCAGGCTAATTGTTATGTGACCCTATATGCAAATTCCACTTAACATATATTTTTAACAAACATTAAGCAAAGTATTGGGTTCAAACTGAAAATATCCAAAAATAAGAACAGATGAAATATAATGAAAAATTAATGATTTCTAACTATTTCATAACAGCACATAAGTTTATTTTGGTGTGCTTTTGTAGCACAGTGGCATAGAAAATAAGATGGGACTATTAAAAAGTAATGATGAGGACTTCTTGGAAAAACTAGTTCAAACTAGTTCAAGCTCACAAACACTGAGTGCTTCTATATGTAAAAGCATGTAAGACAGTAGGTATAAGAAAATGACTAAGACATGGCCCCTGAACAGTGTCCTATGGGAATACAGGGGAGACTTAAGTAAATTCCGGAGTAAACTGAAACGTTTATAAAGTTAAGCCTTATGTTCTAAAGGCATAATGTTACATATTAAGATTCTAGGGAGCTTCCCTGGTGGTCCAGTGGTTAAGACTCCACGCTGCCAACACAGGGGGCACAGGTTCAATCCCTGGTTGGGGAACTAGGATCCCACATGCTGTGTGGCGCGGTCAAAGGATAAAACAACAACAACAACAAATATATATATATATATATATATATATATATATATGTGGAACAAATGGGGAAGAAATATTTGTAACATATACAATAAACATTTTAAAAAAAAGATTCTACTCCTGGGACCAATTTCAAACTATTAAAAAATTTTTTTCATTATGAAAATAAGTAAAAGGGAAATAAAGTAGTCACTTCCAGACATTACAAACTTACGTAATTTTGACATAAGTTTGGAATAGTGTACTTTCTATTTATGTAAACCTTTTATTAATACAATCACATCTCTATTCAGAATACCATGGGGACCAAGAACGCAGGACAAGCAACACAGGCCATCACTATCGCCCCCCAGTTGACATTTGTGGAACACTTATGCACTAAGAATTCCACGTTATAGTTTAATCCTTACAATAACCCAAGACCATAGGTTCTATAACTATATCATTATAACTACATCATTAGGATGAGGAGCCCATCTGTGTGAACAAGAAAATTGAAAGAGAACGATACAAATGGTAAGGGGTGGTGTGGAGTATGAAACCTGGGCAGCCTGACACCAGAGAACTGTTCTCTTAGCCACTGCACCACAAAGCTCCCACATTACTTTTACTGCCTCTCTTGTTATGTTAATCACTTGTGATATAGACTTACATCATGTCAAGAAAGAGTCCTTCCAGTAATCAAGATCACCAGAGAAGTTTTGATCTCAAAAACCCAAGATGGCCTTCAATGAAATAGTTGTTAAACACAAGACTCGCATTAAGCAGAAGGCAAAGACTGGGGACAGCATGAGTTGGGGAGTGGTGAGAAACAATTCTATACTGTTTGTATAGAAATGAAAAATCAGATTTATTCACTCATGTGCACAAAGATATGCATAAGAATATTCACAATAGTATTATTTATAACATGGTGGGTGGTAGAGTAGGAAAGGAGGAAAAGGAAGGTATGAATCTAAATGACCACAGAGAGGAAAATTATAAAATATATTCTGTGATATTCATTCTATGGAGAATACTATTCAGAAGTTAAGAGGTAGATTAAACAGACAGACATATATGGAAAAACCTTCCAATTATACATAATATGATGACACGTATACTTTTAAAAGTTTCTCTGTATCTGTGTAAAATACAGAGAACAAGCTCTGGAAGGACACACTTTAATGTTAACAAAGGCTACTTCTGAAAAAGATAATGGGATGGGGAAAGGTTGAAAGAGGAACTGTAACTTTCTATGTTAATGCTGAACTTACTTGAAAATTTCAAAGTATAAATATATAGTTATATATTACTTCAATAATTAAAAATTAATTTTAATGAGTAAAGTAAAAAGAGGGAATTCCAGAAGTATAAACTATAACCTTTCTGGACTTCCGTTTATCAATGTATAAAACAGGGGCCACAAAACAGAAGTATGAAAAGGCTATGGGAAAAATAAAATCCCTTAAAATCTCAAGCTTTTTTGACAAAAGATATCCAGAAACTTCACTTTAGCATATTGTCACCTAATACTCAGCTATCAGAACAATCAAGAGCTCTATAGCTGAAAAAGGGACACTCATTTGCCAAGAAAAGCTTGGTACCATTAATAGTACAATGAAAGATTCTGTGGTACTATTAATACTAAAGAGATTCCAGAGCCTTTATGAAATAAATGAACCCTAAAGAAAATGAAATACTTCAGGTAACTGAAGCACATTAAGCAGCTCTTCCTTCCCCATACATATGTTAGTGAAGTGTTGCCTTATTCTCTTTTTCATTTAAGAAAAAGTTGAGCTTCCGAAGTAATTTAGGTGGGAAAATATCTTAAAAAGTATTAAAGTACCAGGTACCTCACAAAAAGTCAAAACTGCACTCATCTCACGTTCTGTGTTCTTAACTTTTTAGCACTTTTTGAGGGACAAATTACATGCCCAAAATTCCACAATCCCAAACCCAGACTTGTACTGTCTTTCGAAAGCGGTCATGTTCAGCTTTTTGATTTGAAGAGTGTGATATTACATGCTCTTACAATATTACACCCTTGAGATATTACCTGCTCAATACAAATTAATTCTGCGGAAGGAATAAAATCTGTAAATTTACCTTCATGTGCCACTAAACCTTATGAAGTCTTATAAGACTTAAAGGCGCACAGGTACGTACACACGTACGTACACACACACACACACACACACACACACACACACACACACACTATCTGTATTAGTACATAATTTATTTCAAATATAAGATAATAAGTTTTAACTGAATAGCACTTTGTTTTCAAAGCACTCTGATTTCATTAAATCCTCACAGCCAAACTGAATGAGTCAGAATAGATCTCATTACCTCTATGTCCATTTTACAGAAAAATAAACTGAGACACAGACCTGTTCAGTGACTTTACATCAAAGGAAGGAGTGGATTTCATATTTCCTGGCATCTTCACCCATTAAATCTCAACTGTCTCAGGAAACTACCAGAAAAATTCTACATGGCTTCCTTAGAGGAAAGTGGTTTCTGAAATTGCTTAGATGTACAAACTAATGCTGCTTAAAGGACTAAAAACAATTTTTTTTTTTTTAGGCTGCACCATGCAGCTTGCAGGATCTCGGTTCCCCAACCGAAGACTGAACCCAGGCTCTCAACAGTGAAAGCAAGACGTCCTAACCACTGGACTAAAAACAATTTTTAAATGCCTTTAATTTATACATCAATACAGCAGCTAACTATTTAACAATTTGGCCTTTCAACAAAAATCCTTAATTTCTCCCCCATCTGAACTCCTAAACATTCCACAGAAAAAGCTTAGTCCCTTTTATAGCATCTTGGTTTGAATAATTCATTTTAATATTATAGGGAATGATTTTACTTATTTTTTTATTCATAGCATATATATGTTCATCACCACAGTCTGTGGATACATGTATATAATAAAATACAATTGTATCAACTACTTGAAACAGCTCAAAATATAGAAACTGAAGTCCAATTACAAATTTGATCTCAGGGAATTCCTTGGCAGTCCAGTGGTTAGGACTCCACACTTTCACCGCCAGGGCCCGGGTTCGATCCCTATTCCCACAGGCCAAAAAAAAAAAAAAAAATCGATCTTATAACAATAGCATGAAGATAATATTTCTTCATTAAACTCTACAGTGAATTGATTTCTAAGGAGTACCATTCTTCCATAGGACATTCTGCTTCTTACATTTATCAATGGTAACGATTAATACTTGAAAAGCTATCTCCAAGCTTGTTTGAAATGAAAAATTATTTTGCTACAGGGAACAATTATGATATCAGGAATTTCATCTAAGATAATACTTTCAGTAAAACAGGCTTCCAATTTCCTTACTCTGGTTTTGTTCATAATCTCTAATGCAAAATAAAAAGAAAGGTTCAAATGCTATTACTGGCCATGTAATATTTCTATAATGCATTACTCTACAAAGCATTTCTACATTATCACATTTGATCCTCACAACTCAATTAGATATGTGATATCACTCCCACTTTGTAATTGAGGGAAAAAATGCAAAGAAGTTAAGTGATTTGATCAAGGTTCTCCCATTACTTTGGGGTTCAGACTCAGGTCTGCTCTGATAAGTTTTATTTGCCCGAACAGTACATAATGTAAAAGGCCATCAACTTAAGGCTTAGCATATGTGGAACTGACAACATTGTTCCAGTATCCTATGTGCTCATATTCCAATCTAAAGCAGTCACCAATTAGCTACATGAGTAGGTCCTCTGTGCTACAGGAAGCAAAGAAAGGGCATCAGTAATGCCTCTTTCTTTCCACTACCTAAGATTTGAGGGGAGACGAAGAGTTCATAGGCATAACAGGAAAATAATATGTAAGTCAGAAAGACAGACAAGAAAAAAATTATATTCCAAGGAGGTCAAGGGCAATGAAAACTAATGTCAGGAAGCTGGCAAATGGAAAGCTATGAGAAGAAAAAGACTGAAATGAAAGTCTATACTACTAGAGATGTACAACTTGTTTGAGACTCCTTTTGCAAACAATCCAGACTCTGTGAGTTATCAGCACCAAACATCCCGAATAGCAAGACAATGTATAGTCAGTGAAGACTTCCCGTGATTGTTACCTTAGGGATACAAAGGCACTAAATGTAAACATAAAACAGTCTAAACAATTCTCTAGC